ATGGACACTTTGGACCACATTGTAAACACTAATTAGCAATCCAAGCGTCCCCACATACATCATAACTTATGAGTAGAAAGAGACAATGGCCTAAATCGCAGAAAGAGATCTAATCCTGTTTCAAGGTTTCTTAATTAACTTTTCTCCTCCAAAGTTGTCAAATTACTCTCAAACTTATTGTTTCGCCAAGAGAAAGTGTTCAGATTCTAATCATCAATATGGGGAGTATAACTTACTAATAAATCCATCTGATACGTCAACATTTTATAATGAATATGGATATGCCATGCCCTTCTCCTTCTTCTTCTTCTTTTTCTCTTCCGCGCGGATTTACCGCAAGGAAGATCAAGGGGAGCTCTTTTGAAGTGACCGACACAGTTTTGACTCTTGAGAAGGTCATTTTCATCTCTCTGATGTTACTCTATCTTTGCCGCCTCTCGGGCTGCTGCGATAGCTTGACGGGATAAGAACGAGATTTGATTTCAATTTCAATTTCATCATTTCGAGAATGGCGGGAATATCCATGCAAGAAGAAACACTTCAGTTCTCGAAATCCGGAATTTGCACATAAAATTTGCGACTGCGCGCACTGTGAAACTTGATATTTCATTTATGGAGTTGGAGTGAAAATAGGGGGTGAGAGGTGAGAAATTTGCAACATTTTTCAAGATTCTTGAAAATTACGTTTTTCGAGGGTTTCAACATCAAAAGTTCAGAACGGATACAGTGAGCAGTCTTGAATACCAGATAGAACCTATACGTGCACACGGAGCTCAATTATCTCAGGTCCTTCAAAAGATATCAAACAATTGTCAACTGATAAATTGTTGGTGATATTGTGATAAATAATTTGTCAGTTGACAGATTTTTATATCTTTTGAAGGAAGCGAGATATTTGAGCTCGATGAGCACGTATAGGGCGTGATCTATTAGATCATTTATGGTAGTTAAAAATTGACATTCTGAATGGTCAAAAATATTTAGTCTTGAAATAGTCAAAAAGGTGCGAATCTTATTAATGGTTCCCAGCTCGATGGATCAGGAATGAATTGAACTTTGAGCCATTTCCCCAATAAAATTCAAGGATCTAACGGAAGCTTTGATGATATCAGTGCTATTAAGAAAACCATTTTTACTTGAATCAGTCTGTAAAATCATTTAATGACGATCATATTCATAAAAAGCTCAAAACTGAGAAAGCTTCTTAAAGACAAAAAACAAAAACTGAAAGAAACAGTCAGTTGGCGGCGAACAAGACACAATTGTTCCTTTGCATGACGACGCGTGAGCTGCCTGTATGCAAACTATGCAAACTTAAAACGACTCATTTGCATTCGGATTCCCCTTTGCACCGAAAATGATAAACAAATAACACGCACATATTCAGCTGAGAGAGCACACGCGCGAAACCTCGCACTCTTTTCAAGCCTTCTGGTTGGTAGAAGAAGATGCACATTGTGCAAAACCATCGGCACAATGGATCGTATTTCATAGGCGGTTCTACCCTCTTGATGAATTGTGACAGAAAAGTACAGAAGATGAGTTATCGTATGAAACAAATTTTGAATAGGGTTTTTGAAAATTTGGGAGATCACAAAAACCTAATAGATTGATGAAAAACTCATTTTCCCAAGCGACGATTCGTGGGAATGTCGAATACTGTGAGAATGACATTTCATTAGGAACCTCGGTGTTCGAATAGGTCATGCATATGTTTTTTGAGACCTGGCCCAGTTCAGATAATCAAATGATTCCAAAAATAGAGCAGAAGGAGTAAAGTTTACTGTTCAAGAAAAGCAAAACTACCGTAAAACCTGTAATAGAAGGACCCTCACACCGTCAAGTTTGAGCTTATTTTTCTTGGCTCGTAAGCAAGATATAAAAAATGTGCCAACTGATAAAATGTCTGGAATTTTATCATAAACAATTTATCAGTTGACAACTTTTTCATATCTTTGACAGCAAACAAAAAAACTGACTCAAAGTTAGAAGTTGACCTTCTGTTACAGGTTTTACGGTAGATAGGCAGGTTCTCTGAAAATAAAATTTAGGTTACTTTACAAAACCATCATCAAAAACTCATCATGTCAAAGAGTCAAATTTGATTAGACCAGAAACACAAAAAGGACAAAAAGAGTCCCTTGCGGCAAAAGTACGCGCGGAAACAATTGAAGAGAAAAGAGGAAACGGAAAAAAGATTTCAAATTTGAACTACTTTTTGTTGAGTAAAATCCTGAACCAAAGAAGGAGGAGAAAATAGAATAGAAAAGACGAAGAAAGTTGATGGGGCGGAGCGAATTGATGAGGACGGGAGAAAGGAAAAGGTAATAGTTTGAAATATGTTTACTTTAGATTCTCGATTTCCAGTCAAACTACTATCAACATAGAGAATTCTTTTGTAATTCAAATCGTCAGAAGACACTCACATGTGTTCTTTTCTTCATCTCGACCAACTGCAGTATCCACAGGTGTCCGAAAGATTATGAGAAAAGTGGCGGCGAATCATAAAAAACGAACTGAAGTGGTCGAGAAATGAGATGAAAGAGTCGATGAGAAGTTGGAGTGTAAAAACATCCAATGTTTAGAGTATTCGACAATCATCTGTTAGGAAACAGTGGGCGGAGAGTTTGGAAAAAGCAAAGTTCCAGAACGAACCACTAAAGTGAACCATTCTCAAGAAACTACAAAAATCTGACAGAGTATTTGAATAGTTAAAAAAACCCAAGATTTGCACCGAATACGCTAACAATATCAGAAAAAGTTACAAGCACACAGAATGTACCAAAGCAAGAAAGTTTATCTACTGTCAAACTTGTAATAGACTGGCCCCTGTCATGTTCAAGCTGATTTTTCTTGGCTTCTTAAGATATCAAAAACAAATCTACTGATAAAATATTTGTGGTATTCTGGTATACAATTTATCAGTTGACAACTTTTTCCTATCTTTGACGGGAACCGAGAAAAATTGGCTCAAAGTTAAAAAAAATAGGGGGATCTTCTATTACAGGTTTTACGGTAGACTGTTCGAAAGTTTGCGACTTGAAAGGCATTTTACAGCAACCTTGCAATCTGAATCATAAGTATTTTGAAAAACCATTTTTACTTTTCAAACATTCTATTTCTTTCCCACAATATCTCGATTGAATCTCTCTGGAGTTATATAAGAACACAAGAAAATTCGAGGAACACATAAAGATATATTACGCAACTTCTTCCCCCTATTTTCTCGCCCATCATCTTCTTCCGTCATGTTCCTAATCAGATTTCTCCAGAGTAAAATCCCAAGGAATTTGGTGGTCCGGCTAACGAGATGTGTACATACAAAGTTACGAAACAAATTCGCACAATGGGTGGTCCTTTGAATTTCTTGGAGCAGTCTTTTGACATCAATGTTTTTCAGGATGGAATAAATAGGGAAAATGGAAATCTTACAAAAGAAATTTAGAAACCATGTTGTTAACCTAAAAAGCTCGAGGCATGTCCCCTTTTCCTTGTCGATGTACCAACGGCAGCTGTTGCAAACTCACATAAATAACTCTATGATGACAGTAATGCCATGTCTCATTTAGGTATGGGAAAACGGGGAAAGACGCCAAGTATTACCGAAATGGGATACTAAAGTGGTTCAAATTTGAGATGTCAGCTGAGGAGGCGCGGACGAAAAAAAAGGCTCGCCGTCGTATGGAAGAGTTGGTGTTTTTTTTAAATCTTCTTGATGAAAAATGTTATAGTGATCAAAAAACGGAACTTTGTCAACATAGGTACGACTAAAAGAATAAATCAGCTTCTGTATTTACCGTAGTACCTGTAATAGAAGGGCCCCACGTTGTCAAGTTTGAGCTTATTTTTCTTGGCTTGCGAGATTGCAAAAAAAGTCAACGAACAAAAAACTTCTGTTATAATGATAAACCATTCATCCGTTGACAATTATTTATATCTTTGACAGGAATCAAACAAAACGAGCTCAAAATTAAAAATTAGGGTCCCTTCTATTACAGGTTTTCGGCAGCCTACTGATCAGTTGGAATTATGCTACAACGCAACTGTATTTCAGATCAGTTTAAATTCATTCCCATCTTTTTCCATGCTCCCAGTGGATTCATATCTTGCTCTTTTTCGCTTCTGCAGCAAAAATAATTGTGACACCGGGGGGATGAAAAATCGTGTGACACAGAAAACTAACTTGTGAGGCGGCAAAAATGACGAATTATCCTTCTCCCCTGTCTAGGGACAACCAACTAAAAAGTAAAAAGCGACAAAAGTGTTTCTTGTCAGAGAGAAAAAGGAAAGGGTTTGTCAACATACGGAATATTGAAACATTGGTCCCCAGGGGATACCAAAAAGAATATTGAGGTTAAAGGAAAAAGAGGGTGGTTATGAAATGTTTAGGAGCAACAATGGAAATGTTCAAAAGGAGGGAATTTGTTAAAGAATAGGTAGCAGTTTTTGGGTAAGAATTAATTGATACTTAAAGAAAATATTTCTGGAAAACAAAAGTCGGAATTTACAAGACCTCGAAAAATAAATTAATCAAAATAAGAAAAAGTACCGTACTTCGTAACCACCAAACGTCTCCATATTTTTTTTACTTAAGATCTCACGATTCAGTTTTTTTCATGCCCTTCAAACTCTATATTTAAAATGTGAAGTTTCCCAAAACTTCTGATATTTCCTTCTATCAATCGTATCAAGATCAAATTCATCAACCCTCGAACAAAAAAATCATGTGAGCCAATGGATTCTTTCCTCCGCCAAACTTTTTTATTCTGCAGAGAAGTTTCTTGTTTTTGGTTTCCATCATCTTGCTCTATCAAAAGAATCACATCAATCAACCAAAAAAAAGTTCAATGTGGTAGGAAAGCCAATCTCCGCCTTCTTATCTGCCGCTTTCGGCTCTCACCGATCAGAGGAAAAAAGTCAAGTATAAAAAGAAAGGATCCGAGAAGATTCCTTAGTTTTCCTTATCTTTTCATTGTCTAACATTTTCTCAATTTTCAGGGATGGAATTTCGAATCCTCTTCTCTCTTTCCCTACTTGTTGTAGGGATTCTCGGACAACTAGTAGAGGATAATGGACCAGTACACTATTGTTTCATTGACCCACCAGTGGTGAACATTATTTTCAGCCATACTTGTAATCCGGGCCTTTGCCGGTCCTTCGCGGGCCCTGCCATAATTTCTTTCAGAATCGATATTTTCAAACCAACTAAATCAGGTATGATAGAGCTCCACGAGTACTACAAAACGGTATTATTTGAAATATTGTATCTTATCTATGAACAAAGTTACAGATCATAAAGTGGCTTTTCTCGCAGGGCCCGGCAGGGCCGGGCCGGGCCGGGCCGGGCTTGTTTTTTTGTCCCTTTTGCTCCGTAACTCTGTTCATAGACAAAATACAGTATTCCAAATAATACCGTTTTGTAGTACTCGTGGAGCTCTATCATATCTGATTGAGTTGGTTCAAAAAAATTGATTCTGAAAAAAGTTATGGCAGGGCCCGCGAAGGCCCGGCAAAGGCCCGGATTACAAGTATGCTTTCAGCTACTAAAAAATAAATATAATCTTCAGAAGCAACGCCTCTCCCCAAACCTTCTTGAGAACATCACTACATGTACTCACCTCGTCTATGGAAGAGTTTCAATTGACAAAGACTATCCACCGTATCCTCAATACAGTGTTACGGATGTAGATTCTGGATACGATATGGACAACATCCGGACATTTTTGAGAATGAGAGAGTATCATCCGAATGCCAAATTTCTCATTCGTCTTGTAAGGACCGCGCCGTTCGAAGACTCAGTTGTTGCCACGAAAACTGCAAATGCTCTCATGAAGCATGTGAAGAGCAAGTGAGTTGAAAATTCGGATACTGTAGATGGCGATGGGAATATACACTTTCAGAAGATTCGACGGAGTTCTTGTTATGTTCGATGGAATCCATTTGGAATACCGTTCTTCCACTGCATTCTTGGAAGCAATGTCTGAAGAAAAATCAATGATGTTGGTGTTTGGATTATCTGGAAGGCGTGTTTTCGGCTATGGAGCCGTTAAAAGACTCCAAGAGATCAATCCATTGGTGGAACACATCTTCTTGGATATGGGAGAACTTCCAGTGAGGGTTTTCAGTAACTTTTTAAAACAAATATTTTTTTCAGTCTAACGAAGAGCCAACTAGAATCACTCAAATCAACCCACTTTTCTCGAACACATCAATTCCATTTGAGGAAACGATTCAAGGAACTGTTGATGAGTTAGTTGAATTTTCTCTTCCCGAATTTCATTTTTCATTTCAGGCTCGTCAAGGAAGGAATTCTTCCAGCTCGTATTGTAGTTGGACTGACAGCAGGAGGATGGAAGTTCGAGATCAAAGAATCACAAGATCCATTGAGAATCTCTCATGGAATTTATGCTGTGGAAGCTGGTAAACGAGTAGCTTATCAAGATGCATGCAAAGCCAGAGGAGCAGTGATATACGATTGGAAAACAATGAATGAGATCACTGTTTATAGACAAATGTGGATGAATGTCAATCTGCCATTAATGAAAGCCATGGGAGAGAAGGTACACGACTTTATCATTGAAACTACTCAAAAGTATATTTCAGATTAAATGGATCCTCGGACAGAAGTTCGCTGGATTCGGAATCTCTGATGCCCTAACAGACGATCCACGTGGTGACTGTGGAACCGATCCTCTTCCAGCTCATCGCCTAGCCATGCAACTGATTCGTAACACAATTCCAGCCAATCCAGCGAAATGTACAAGACTCTGTTACTTGGATCCAGAACAAGTCGAAGAGACCTTCCCAATTGACAATTTGAGATCGGATTACTGTAGCCACATCGTAGTTCACTATTTTGATTTGGACTTGAAGAACAATGTGGTCGTTGCTGAAAAAGCAGAGAGCTTGGTTAAGAAAATTGATCAATGGAGAACAAAAATTGTTGAGATTGCTCCAAAAGTTAGATTAGAACCATTTGAATAAAATATACAATAGATTTTCAGCTTATTCTTTCTCTTGGTTCAAAACAGGTCACTGGAGTCTGGCAGTTCCTTCTCGGTAATGATTTCCGTCGCAAGGAAGTTGCTGAGGAGCTTGTAAAATCTATGTATGCGTCTACTGCTGATGGACTCGAAATCTCGTGGACTTTGGAACAAATGGCCAGTGATTTTGATAAAAAGAATCTGAAAGCGTTGATTGATGATATCGTTACGATAGATGTCGAAAAGAAATTCGAGCTCGTTGTGGCAGCTACTCCACAGAGCAGTTTTTCGGATTTCTATGATTATGAGCATCTGAATCAGTGGGTTCTTTCTCTATTGAATCGCAAACAACTCTTAATTCAGAACCGTCTCTCTTATCGTCCTTCACTCGCATCGTCTTCACTCAGAATCTCTTCCATTCACCGGACACTCATCTCCACTCCGTGCCACGTCATCAATGAAAGATCCAAAAATGACATGGGAATCCCTTTTCAACCATTGGGCTGAGAAGAAAGTATCTCGCTCTAAAATTGTTCTCTCCCTCACTGCATCTACTCTCTCAATGCAATCTCTCGCTGATATGCGAAGCTCAGCTTTAGCTCCATTCGGTCAACCAGTCTTCGTTTCAATGTTGCGATCGAAGAAGTCTGATATTCATAGCCAGCAAGAGGTTTGTGAGAGTCTAGAGACAGGCACAGGAATCACTCATTGGGTTGATGTAGCTGACGTTCCTTACTTAAGGTTAGATTAATCGATGACCTTTCAGATTTCAGCCTTTCAAATTTCAGACGATACGATCAAATGGTGGCTTATGAAAACACTCTGAGCTCTCATATTAAAGCAGTTTGGGCTTCCATGAAAGGTGTTGGCGGATTGGCTCTTCACAATATTCATCAGGATGATCCAAGTGCTGTTTGCAACAACCGTACCTCATTCCCTCTTCTGGATTCTCTCTCCCGTGCTCAAGTCTGCCAGAAGTGTTTGAAACAACACGACTTCAAGAAGTGTGCTCAACACGATTTTGTTGTCAGTTGCAGCTTCGATTTGAAAAAGAATATGCGTAAGTGAAGATGGAATCTATTGGGATATGTACCATATGGTTCAGCTCTTTTCAAAACCGATATCGTTCCATACGAGAGATGCACTGAAGTGGTTGTGGAGCAAGCCAAACTCTCGCTGGGTGGAAACATCACTTTTAAGGATTCACAACAGGAGCAGGTTCTGAGAAACTTGGTGAGCAAAAAATATCGATATCTGTAAAAAAGCTATCCAAACATTACAGACTACTATGCGCCCAAAGATGCTGAAATGTGGAATGGTTCTATCTCTTTCCTGTGGAGATTCCGAGAAGCATCTCAACCATATTCTTGGAGGTAATACATTTTTTCTCTCGAGGTTTGGTTTCATTATATTTGTTTGAGATAACATGACTTCTGCTATCAACAATGTGATGAGTGTCATGGAAAAGTACAAGTTCTCTGGAGTCCAGTTGGATTGTGAAAAGGCGATTCGCAGAGGAAATCATGTAGGTCCCACTATTTGGAAGTTACTTAATAACTTCCAATTTTCAGATCTTCTTCAGCAATTTTGTGAAAAAATTGGTCAAGAAGTTCGAGAACACCAAGGCATCAAATGGATGTAATAGAACTCTTTCTGCAAGGTAAAATTCAGAGTCACAGTCGATCCTCCAACTTCTAATTTTCAGATTTTCCCCATTCACAAGAACTCCTTCAAGCTACTACAGTATCTCATTGCTCAATCGTCTCTCTCACGTATCCATTCGAATGACTGATAAGAATCAAGTGGATCTTCCATTCTTCTTTAACACTTCTAACCCAGATTTCCCGTCAACAGAAAAATTTGTGAAACTTTGGAAGAATTTCGGATTGAAGCCAGAAAAGTTGGTTTTAGAACTGTCTCCATTTGGATGGCAAGAAGGAAAAAAGGAGGGCGAAAAGATTAAAATGACTCAAGGAGAAACTTGTGTGGCCGTTGGAAACAAAGCAGTTTATCAGCAAAACTATGAAATTCTGACTGGATCCACTAGTCATGCCAATGGAACTGTTCATATTCCACTTATTGAGGATTTCCGCTACAAGGTAAAAAGTTAAAAAAAATCTAAAAACTAATGTTCTCTTCTCAGATCGGCTATATTCAACGCGAACAACTCGGCGGACTTGCTTTGAATTCTGTGAATGGGGACGACTATACTGGAATTTGTGGACGGGGATCCTTCCCGATTCTTAAATCGGTCTACAGCTCCACCAAGTGTCGCTAACCCATGTTTTCAAAACTTTATTTTCCAAACCTAAATAAATTTTGATTGATTTTAAAGTCAACAATTCAAGAAACTTCTCAGAAACAGATGTCGTAGTGTGACATCTAAAGTTGTTTGCATTCTTGAGGACTCAGTATTTTTATGGGTTTGTTCTCTCCACTAAACTTTGTTTCTTTGTCCATTTTCTTGTTAGTTCCCGTCAAACACAAGAAACCCTCCTCAATAGTTGAAAATGAGGAATTCTTTTTTTCAGTTTATTGATCGTCAAGAGCAAACAAGTTACATGAATGCTTTATCTTTGGTGTTCTCAAGTTACATTTGCACATAGGATTTACTTTTAAAAAGCTATTGCTAAGTGTTTCTAATACAAATTTGTTAATTATTATATTAATAAAAAACCTATGTTCGCAACATCATCATGGGATTCAGACCTTTGTAAGTGGCTTCAATTTCCTCAACTTCCTTTGACTAGGAATCCGGTTTGCGCATTCTCCCTTCTCCTTTTCATATATTGTGTTCAATGTGTCACCTGTTGTCTCTGATTTGTTTATTTATTGATCTTTTGTTTAGTTTTTCCAATGTTATTAAATTTAGGAATCATTTACAGATGGAATGAAATCGCTGACCGATTTATTCGGTTGCTTCAAACGGAATCCGAGGCGAGGAGATGGTTAGTTTGTAGTTTGTGTCTGATTGTAAGCTTTCATGAGCAATATCGATTTCTATTTTTCGAACTATTTTTTGATGAATTCAATATACTTTCTGTGTGAGAAAATCAGGTTTTTATTTGAAAATTAAATCAAGGAATTCCTTGAATTTTTCCTTTTTTGTCACAAAATGCAACCATGCTCGGTTGTGAGAGCGGAGGGTTTTTGATGATTTTTGAATACAAATTCGCGAAGTCAACTGATGTTTGTTTGCTTTTCGGCCCGATTGCTGATTGATTTTATCAGCATTTATTTCATCAGCAAAAAAGGCGTCTTGGAAAGTAAATTATTGAAACATCTAATTTTTCTTACAATTACTACAAAACCGTAAGGTTTCTTAAAGGCGCAGCTGTATTTTCGGACTACATTTTTTAGTTTTGAGTATGCGCCTTTAAATTCGCAAAACCGTACTTCGCAAAATCGCAGTCGAAGTCGCAAAATCAAAGTCGCAAAATTGAAATAATTTCAAGTATTTTTCGTTCAGATATGTTTGCTTTGGGCACTTTTTCGCTACCAATTTTTCGTGCAAAACCGTCTGAAGCTTGAAAATTTGCAATCTGATATAATCAGTTCGTCTTCTCTTTCATTGTCTTTACTATAGGCTTACAATTATAAATATTTAAATCTCGATTTTTCAGAAGCAGCTTCGGCTAATCAATCCACAAGTGACAGCCCGCCTATGGGGGCAGTGGCAAGTGGAATGCCTCCGCCGAAGCGTCGTGCTCCGACGGAAACAAAAACACCACCAGGTGAAAGAAATGTTGATGACACTGGAATTCCATTGAAGGAAGCGTTGAAGCAGGCGAATGATGCTAAATTCGCAGTTTTCTGTTCTGGAAACAACGAAGAAGAGGAAAAGCAAATTTCGGAAATCGAGTCTATTCTAAAAACTTTGAAAGATCCACCAGAGACTGAAAAACCTCTCGAAATTCCTGAAATTCAAAGAATCCAAGTCAGCTCATCGTCTAAAAAAGCAATCCAATATCTGACTTTGCACGATTCCTGGCCACTAATCTACATCAAAGGAAATGCAGTTGGAGGACTCAAGGAGCTGAAGGCGTTGAAGCAAGACTATTTGAAAGAGTGGCTTCGTGATCATACGTACGATTTAATTGTAATTGGAGGAGGATCGGGTGGTCTAGCAGCAGCCAAAGAAGCAGCAAGACTCGGTAAAAAAGTTGCTTGTCTGGATTTTGTGAAGCCTTCACCACAAGGAACAACTTGGGGACTCGGAGGAACTTGTGTAAATGTCGGATGTATTCCAAAGAAGTTGATGCATCAAGCAAGTTTATTGGGTCACTCGATTCGTAAGTTGTATTCAGAAAATTTTCAAACGCATTAATATATGATTCTAGATGACGCTAAAAAGTTCGGATGGAAGTTGCCAGAAGGAAAAATCGAACATCAATGGGGACATATGCGTGACTCTGTACAAGACCATATCGCTTCTTTGAATTGGGGATATCGAGTTCAGCTAAGAGAGAAGACGGTCACTTATATCAATTCCTATGGAGAGTTCACCGGACCATTCGAAATTTCTGCAACCAATAAAAAGAAGAAAGTCGAAAAACTTACTGCCGATCGCTTCTTAATTGCTACTGGTCTCCGCCCCAAGTATCCAGATTATCCAGGTGTGAAAGAGTACACGATCACTAGTGACGATTTGTTCCAACTTCCGTATTCTCCTGGAAAAACACTTTGCGTTGGAGCATCGTACGTTTCACTGGAATGTGCCGGATTTCTGCATGGTCTAGGATTTGATGTCACTGTATGCTTTTTCTCTTTCTATTTTTTTTTTAATTGATACTTTTCAGGTAATGGTACGTTCGATTCTTCTCCGTGGTTTCGATCAAGACATGGCAGAACGTATTCGCAAACATATGATCGCCTATGGTATCAAGTTTGAATCTGGGGTTCCGACGAGAATCGAGCAAATCGAAGAAAAGACCGACGAGAAGGCGGGAAGATATCGCGTATTTTGGCCGAAGAAGAACGAAGAAACTGGTGAAGAGACCGAAGTATCGGAAGAATACAACACGATTCTGTATGCGATCGGAAGAGAAGCTGTGACGGATGAAGTGGGACTTGATAGCATTGGAGTAGAGAGAGCAAAAAGCAAAAAGGTTGTTGGAAGACGTGAACAGGCGACGACGATTCCATGGGTTTATGCAATCGGTGATGTGTTGGAGGGGACTCCGGAATTGACACCAGTCGCAATTCAAGCTGGAAGAGTTTTGATGAGACGTATTTTTGAAGGAGTCAATGAATTGGTAAGTTTTGAGCGAGAAAATTGGAAACAATTGTATACTCTGAATTTTCAGACAGAATACGAACAAATCCCAACAACTGTCTTCACTCCACTCGAATACGGATGTTGTGGCCTTGCCGAAGAAGATGCGATCAAGAAGTACGGAAAGGAAAACATCATCATCTATCACAACGTGTTCAATCCACTCGAGTACACGATTCCCGAACGAATGGACAAAGATCACTGCTATCTGAAACTGATCTGTTTGAGAAACGAAGAAGAAAAAGTCGTCGGCTTTCATATTCTGACTCCAAATGCAGGAGAAGTCACTCAAGGATTTGGAATTGCTCTGAAGTTGGCAGCGAAGAAGGCTGACTTCGATCGTCTCATTGGAATTCATCCAACTGTCGCAGAGGTTTGTTTCAAAAGGAGAAACCTCAAAAGTAGATGGCAATTTTCAGAGTTTCACGACGTTGACATTGGAGAAAAAGGATGGAGACGAGGAGCTACAAGCATCGGGTTGCTGAGGATAAGAAGGGTCCGATTTGAGAGAAGGAGTAATAGTTAGAAGATCAAGAGAAATATGAATGGGTTTGGTTCACCGATTCCAGCATATTTACTGTTGATCTTCCTCCTACCTTCTCTCAAATTGGACCGTTTGGTGATCGCCAGTAAGGGCAGCTTTGTGACGACTCTGGGCTAAACTCCATCGTGAGCGCCTTTGGTCTGATGCGCTCTGAAAACGGTCACCGCCCCCTGAAGACCATCAGTACGGTTGGGTTTTGATTTTCTATTAATACGAAAGCTTTTTTTCAAATTCTAAACCCTTCTTTACTGACCTTCAGGTTAGGGTAGTATTGACAGTTGCCACGTCCCTGTGGGTTTTATGATCTACCGCTTGGCAACTTTCAGAACTAGACCTAATTAGCCAATCGTTCGCTTTTATTCACTTTATTAACCTTTTTCTTCATCATCCCCCTCTTCTGAACGATTACTCTTTTTCCACCATTTCGCCCACCATTTTGTTTGGGTTATTGTATGCCTTTTTATTCAGTAATGCAATATTTTTCGTAATGCCTTTCCGAACATGAATTCTTTTCATTGAAAATTTCGATTTGTTTCATCAATACACAACACCCACAGTCAATAGTCTTGCAGAGCCTGTGCTCACCGCTGCGTCTCTGAAGATTTTCTCTATTACGTTTCCTCTGCTTCTCACCAATTCATGTCTCCTCTCGCCTTCGCATATATTTAGACACGTGAAGAAGAGATAGAGAAAGAAGAGGAGAATGGAAGACGAAAAAGCAACAGTGGAGAAGGAGAGAAAGAGTATTTGTATATTCAGGCCGAGAGAAATGGGGAAACAAGCATCGATATTCATTCCTCCCTTATATTTTTACTTTCAATATTTTCCATATGCAACCGGGCAGGAGACTTGTGTAATAATAAATTTCATTTGCACTGTAACGTTTTTAAAATTCTTCTTAATCTCTCACAAATCGCTCTTGTTCAGCTACTATTCTGGTACAAACATCGGAGCTGAGGAAGAGAAACACCGGTGGCCCCACCAAGACAACTACCGTAACCTAAAAATTTTTATATTTTCCGGATAAATTATAATTGCTGTCTGAGAAAAAAGTCGATATGTGACATATCATATGTCGCTAATTTTTTTTTAAAGGTGGTGTACGGTGAAATNNTNTATTGCATCAAAATGTGCAGAAATTCATGTAGATTGACTTAAAAATAAAGAAAAATTCAAAAAAATTCCTTCATCGAGAAAAACGCATCGAAAAATACGCTGAAAGCCCTTAGGGACGAGGTTTTTTCTAGGCCGCCCGGCGAGTAAAAGCGCGGGAATTCAAACTTTTAAAATTTTTTCGCTCGTTTTCACTTTTTTTTGTTTTTTCAAGAGTTTTCTAGGTTTTTGTCAATTTATCTTCCAGATACATCGGAAAATTTGAAAAAAAAACAGTGAAAACGAGCGAAAAAATTTTAAAAGTTTGAATTCGCGCGCTTTTACTCGCCGGGCGGCTTAGAAAAAACCTCGTCCCTAAGGGCTTTCAGCGTATTTTTCGATGCGTTTTTCTCGATGAAGGAATTTTTGAATTTTTTCTTTATTTTTAAGTCAATCTACATGCATTTCTGCACATTTTGATGCAATAAAAAATTTCACCGTTACTTATTTTCGACGCTTTTTGCCGTTTTTACGATGTAATTGCGAAAAAGGAATCCGAATAATAAAAATAATTGAAAAAACAATGAGAATCATCCAGAAATTTAGAAAATACGAAAATAATATTCAAAATAAGCTAAAAAGATACGGTAGTTCGCTCTTGCGCCTTCAAAAAAATTCAACAAGATATTTGCTCTCGACCTTTTTTCAGACTATGGTAATACTTTTCTGGGTGAAAATAAGAAAAAAAAACGACGAAAAGCAGTGAAAGACGAGGAAATAAATCCTGAAAAAAAGATGTAGGTTACTGTAGTAGTCGTTTTGAGACCTTCGGCCACGGTCACCGTCTTCTTCTCTCCCAAAGGTTTGAGTTTTGTATCAGAATAATACATAACTCTTGTTCAACTACGTTTCAGCTAGATTTCAAGAAGCATCTATTAGAAACCTTATTTTTCTCCAAATTACGTAATTACTAAAGAGGATGAAATGGACTTTGTACCCTTGATCTATATATTCCTACTCCTCTCTCCACCAATGCACCCTCTTGGCAACTTTCACTCTTCGAGACACACCACGAGACAGCATGTCTCTTCTCCCTCCGTCGCCTTCATCCTATCGATCTCTTCCGCGCGGAAAGCACTCCTGATCAATAAAGTTTCTTTTCGGCATAATATGCATGTTTTCTATCCGCTTCGTTATCTATTAAATTGCTTTGATTATTATTCCAGTTTCTCTCTTTTCACTTCCTCTTCTTGTTCACACTGAAATACATTCTTTCAGAAACTTGGAAACAAACCCCATCATGATGAGACCACAGTGTCAAAATCATAATCAAACATGTCGTGTCAAAGTGGACTTTTGCTGGAAAATGTTCAACGAAACGAAAACCACAAAAGTGGTCATGGATCTTCTCTGCCACTGTCGTGTTTATGAGCAATTGAGGCAAAAGTTCCTGGAGTTGGTCCAACACACCAACTATCCGATTTATGACATCGAGTTTTCTTGCGGTATGCTTCTGTTTAAGATCCCAATCCACCTGTCTCGATTTCAGCGGACCGTGATGGATCGACCATTGTCGTTAATGGCTACCAAGTCTACAATCATATGGGACAAGAATACAATCTTCAATCGACTCTTCGTTTAAATGTTGACATTATTGAGGTATCCACAGGAGAGAAGTTGGCCGAGTTGGATCGTCTGGTCCATGAGTGTCATAACAAAATCAAAGCTGACAAAGGATGGAGAGTTTTGAAAGATACTGAGGTAACTGTTCAAACCACCGCTCAAATAACTTTAACATTTCAGATTGCTGAGGAGCAACTATCCCTTCGCGAACTCTTTGAGGCACAACAGAAGGAAATCAACTCTCTTCGAGCTGATATGACAAAATTGAAGCTTGAAAACGAACGTCGTCATGGTGAGAAACTCGAAATCCATAGAGGAGCTGCATACGATGGAAATCAAGATCGCTTCATTGTGAATCATGCTAAAGAGAAGCAGCCTGATAATTCTAGTGAAGTTCACTTTCGAGTCTTTTGCGATGAATGCCAAAATAAGGTCATCGGACACCGTTTCAAGTGCACTGTCTGCGCTGATTACGATTTGTGCCAGGGCTGTGAAGCCAAAGGAATTCATGCTGATCATATTATGATTCGAATGATCAAACAGCGATACACAGTGAAAGGAGTCGATACTGTACCGCTCCGTTTGCTCCCGATAATGGAGAAAAAGCTAACGATTGACAGAGGAACAGGACCAAGCAGCTTGAATCAGTCAGGTGCTAAAACTGTACCTAGCACACTACGCTCAAATTTGTTGGCTTCAATGGCATCACGTCTTGATTCGGCCACAGCGCTCATGCAGAAAAAATCCCCTGATTCGAAGATGGACTATACAACACTTATGGAGAAATTTAGCTCCAACGACTCGCCCAACAGAAACAAAAGGGCATACACAAACATTTGGCCACAAGATACTCATGTACGGCCATACTCCAACGTTTGGTCACAAGATACTCATGTACCAGAGATAACCATCAATCCACCAAAAGGACAAGCCACTCCATTTGAGGGAAAAGACTACGAGATGAAGTTGGTATCATCTGAAGAGAAGTCGAAGAAAACAGACCAAAACATGGAGGATGGTACTCCTATTTGGCAGCTATATCAACAATATTTTCGCCAATGGAATCCACAACCGTCCATGCCTGATGGGCTGAGAACCGATGATATTGAGTACTGGAGACGTTATTTCTCACTTATGAAAAATGAAGAACTGGACATTGACTCTGAAGACTCTGACGACGATTCGGACTGTTCCGATTCTTCGGAATCCTCAGACTCATCCGACTGCTCTGGAGAATCTGTGGCATCTTTCGATGAACTGAAAGAACTCGAAACATCAGAAGAAGAATCTGGAAGTGAAGGATCGGAAAGTGATGAATCTGGAAGTGGTTCAGATGATTTCGATGTGGTCAATGATGAAGACGTCAATGAGGGTGAGATGCACACTGCTGTGGCGCCAACTCCAGAAGCAACTGATTAGAAAAAGTGTATTTGGAAACAAAGATTCTTAACTTTTACAAACTTTCATTTTTCAGGTTTCAGCATCACGACTGTAACACGACTTCACGACTTTGTATTATCAGCATCACGACTTTGTATTATATCATTTCCTGTAATTACTCCACAAATGTAAAAATGAAAAAACTTCAAAAACTGCATTCGATCCCATTTATTCTAACTCAAGGATTCATCAAAATTATTCTCGGCTTCCATGTATTTTTGGCATTACTCATCACCATCTTCTGTATCATGCTGTAAAACTGAGTTCAATCTTTTTTTTCAATAAAGCAAGTAAAACTGGAAGTTTTCATGAAAAATTTAGTACCGTAAAACCTGTAATAGAAGGGCTCTCTAACTTATTATCTTTGAGCTAATTTTTCACAGTACCTGTCAAACATATAAAAATCTTGTCAACTGATAAAATGTTTGTCATAATATCAAAAACGTTTTGTCAGTTGACACATTTTTGATATTTTTTACAGGAATTGAGATAATTTAGCTCAAACTGGACAGCGTAAGGGCCCTTCTATTAAATGTGTTACGGTATTTGAACGTAAAAAAATGTTTTACAGTATTTGAACGTAAAAAAATGTTTTACGGTATTTGAAAATGTGAGAATTCAAAAAACTTGTCGTAAAGCTTATAGATTCGGACTTAATATAAAATCAATGCATGTTTCAAATAACACGAAAAAAAAAGAACGAAGACTCTCAATCCTTCCTCCCTGTGCAGAAAAGCCAAATCCTCTAGAATTATGTACCTTATTTGTACAAATAGATTCTCTGAAGCGGCTATCTTGCGCTTCTTAACTGGTTGTCTGGCTCTTCCCACGTACCATGCATCTCACCTCATCTCATATCTTCTTCTCTCTTTTAAGCGTTAAACTTTGCTCTTCCTTGGTTCGTCCTCTATGTGTGTGTTCCAATGAATCAGATTGGTAAGTTCTCGTGTCATGTGGGTTTGACATGGCAAAAACGAGTTAAAAACATGAAGGTCATTCATCCGTTTTCGAATCTAACGACACCTGCTAACAGAAATACACTTTGAGACTAAAGATTTTCTTCATCGTTATTTTTGGTGCTTTCATGCTTCAGAAGTTTTCGCCCCACAAATCTGATATGTCTGAAACGTTTGTCTATTTTTTTCTAGAAAAAAGACAAAGCATTGGTGAGTTGGTCCCAAAAGACAGCCAAAAAGCAACGATTGCCGTCACCATAATTTCCTTGTTTTTCGTTTTCATTTTTCATAAAACCACCAGAACCCCCACCCACTCTTTTTCCCCCATTTCTCCCAATTTTTTCTTATTTCTTTCCTCTTCCAGTTGACCAAAAACATTTACTCAAACCAGAATGTAACTCGTGTCGTCTTTCGTCTTTTTGGAACTTGTTGTGTTAGAGAGTGGTGACAAAAAAAGAACTGAGAACAAAATATTTACGAGTTTGGGTTGGAAAAGTGTTCCTTTTTTCTAGCTCTGCGCTTTTTTTGGCATGCTGGTCCATTTCTCGGAAAAAAGAAAAAAGAACGATTCGAATATGTGATTATATGAGGTTCCCGATTTAGATCCCGTAGATTTTTATTCTTGGAATGACCTATAGTACTGCCATAGTCTAGAAGATTCTTGTACATTTCAAGTCGTGGATTTCCAGTTTTCCAAGTCATCCAACCAACCAGCTAACCAGTTTTTAAGGATTAGTCAAAATTTGGGAGTCTTTAATCCAAACATTGTTCTCTTGGAACTTGGTCTATCTGAACTCATTTCATTTGAAATGGATTGGTGGAATTCTTGGTTGATCTTCATTTTTATCTGGACAATAATTATATTTTCTGGATCTCGTAAGTCTTCTCATTGCTCTCGAATGAGACAGAGACCGAAAAACTGCTTGCAAATTTCTCGTTGTCGTGTTTCTTTTTCTGAGGTTCTATTTTGAGAAGAATTGGCACATCTTCTAGATTTTTGGGTCTCCTTGAAAATGTATCAAATAGGTCTTTCGAATACGTGACTTTTCTCAAAGTTTGATAGGCTAGTCAAATATGAAATTCTAGAATTCATAGAGTTTCTCGACCTATTTTTCGAGGTACCGCGTTGATACCAGCTGAGCTACAGTTTCAGAAGCTCCGCCGCTGACCGATGTCATTTATGAAATGTGTTTTGTTTTGTTTTATACCTTTTTTGTGTTATTGAGGTCACTGATAAGGCCAAGTTGTGGTTAGAAATAACATTTATGATTTAATAGTGTCTCTAACGATGATCTTCGAATTGAGGGCATCGTTTACTTCCCCATTCATCATAACACACCGATCAAGCGCTCTAATCCGTAACAACAACATTTTTTGCTGTTGGTGGGGTTTGGTGGAGTTAGCAAAAGAGTCCTGAAGTAGTGAACGCACCACAGCATAGATCATATTTCCCTTATTTTTTTTTTTTAATGGATGGACCTTTCTAAAGTTCCCTCACATAGCGGTTTCTGTCTAACTCAACTAGGAAAAGTGACAAAAAGAAGACGTCAGATGCCATTATTTTACGTTAACGGAAACTAATCCACAATGCTGTCGTCTCCATTTTCTCGTCATTCTTCTTTATTTGGTTCTGTTGTCATCTGTTTCCGGAAGATGTTGTCTTTGGACTTTTTACTTTTTCATGGGAACAGCTTTTCTTTTACTCAAGATATAAGAAATTCGAATAGAGACTCCAGTTGAGTTATGGAAAATTGAAAATGGTTGTTAGCTTCCTCCAAAAATTTTGCCAGCAATCAAGTCCAATCTATAAAAGTGGTTCCGTTCCCACTAAGAAACATTGGCATGTGTTTTTGGATTCTATTGCCTCCACTTCTGATTCCGAAGAATGATCTCATAAAGTTTTAGAAGCTTTTCCTGGTCTCCTTCACTCCAATGAATCAATTTCATCCATTTTTCACTGTCGGTCCAACTTTTTTTTCGGTCGTTGAAGAACTTGTGCCCTTTCCAAGAATGTTCAGATATTCATACTTCGATTGGGCTCACTTCCAGAAAGTCTCATTGCATTTTTAATTCTTTCATCTTATCCTTTCTCACCCCATGGGACCTTTGCCTCTTAACCTAAATTACCATTATTTGCCTTGTCATTCGGTTCTTTGGACCATTAGAACCCCTTCTCTCTGCTCATCAATTATTTATATTACAATCCTCCCCGCTTCTGACTCGTCTTCTTCTATCCACATAACCTCCTCACAATTTCGGTCATCTCATCTAACAGGGTCACGAGAGGTCTCCTTTCCGATGACCATCTGCTCCTCGTGGCTTTCCTGTCTCTTGTCGTATCTGTGTCTCTTCTGATTTCAAATACTATTTCGTCACCTATTGCTGGTTTTGTTTGTATCTCTAAATCTGGTATCCCTCGCTTCTATACTTTGTCGCCAAGTTCCTCAATTTTCTGTGGGCTGGCTTTTTTATTTATTTTGTGACGAGATGATGATGTGCTTGTTTTCTTGCCATTTGGCTTCCAATCGAACTTTACAGTATTCGAAGAAAACCCTTCTTTAAGAAGGTTGTGTGAAACGTGGGAGTGAAGGAATTGTGCGAAGGAGCTGTATAAATATCAACTGAGAACTCATAGAACTTTTAAAGCTCAATCTTTGAAATCCTAGTCTATTGATGAAATTGTTAGGCTTCACAATCAGAGATTATTTTAATCTTATCATTTTTGAAACTGAGCTTGATCATGAGGCAGCAAGACTCTCTGAAACATAAATATTGTTTTGAAAAACTGTTGCTTTTCCATTCGAAAAAAAAGAGATAGAAACTGTCACACGACTTTACATTTTGAAAAATTGCTTTTAGAAAAAACCATCCAGCATTTTCGTTTGTGTCTTGCTCATTCCATGACCTTGTTTCAATTCCCATGAGTTATTACACATTCGAAAATCCTCTTCTTCTATCTGAGTCTCGTATTCTTTGCACTCCATCGTTTCACAATCAGACATCACTCGATATCATTTGTCACTTTTCCTTTCATTCATCTCTTATTCCACTTGATCTGATCACTATCAAATAATTTGATCTCCCTTTATTTTATACTAGTATCGACTGTACCGGTCAATAAAATATACAAAAATTTATTTTTCAGTTGACTTTCGGCAATTTTGACCGTCTACAAAAGTCTGGAACCCGGCTTTCAAGTTCCCAATCAATTTGAATATTTTTGAGGTTGAAAAACAGACTTAGATTCAAAACTTTGCATATACAAAATTTTTTGAGAATTCTAGGTTTTCAGCTATTTTGCCGATTTCTGAAAAACTCTCATTTTCGGTCAAACTTGTACTGAAAACTTGAAAAAAAAGGTGTCTATCAGAAATCGGCAAATAGCTGAAAAACTAGGAGTTTTCAAAATTTTCGCCGAATGCAAAGTTTTCAATCTAGGTCTGTTTTTGAACCATCCAACATTTTCAAAGAGATCGGACACTTAACAGCCGAGCTTCAAACTTCTGAAAATAGTGAAAATGACCGAAAATAATCTGAAAAATATGTTTTTGTATATCTTAATGACCGTTGGTACTGTAGATATAACTTTTTATTGTTTTTCTTTCCAGATTCCTCAGAAGCAACAGAAACAGTTCCAAAGATGGGTGGAGTTCTATCAGGAGAGAAAGTGTTCAACGATACAAAAGCGATTCATAATGTAGACAGACAGATGCTTCATAATCAGTGAGTCTTCAATCGTACAGGGCTTCTTCAATGTTGCACCTGCCAATTAACCTAGTTTACTGATCGAAGGTCGAAAAAATTTGAGCCACGTGTATTTGCGGTTTTGAAGAAGTTTTTTTTGGGCAAATATTTGCATTTCATCACGATTACCAAGTTTTGGTGCACCAATCCAGACAACTAGGTGTCTCGTTTTTCCTTTTTAGGTTTTCCACGTTTTTCGGATTCAATTTCTCTGAAATGAAATTGGAAGAAAAAGAAAAGAGTGACCAAAATTTTTTCTGTGAAAGGAATAGAAAAAAATGAAGGGTAGACAGAAACAACAATTAGATCTAAAACCAACAATTCACAAATGGAAAATCAGAGATAAATACCTGACAAACAAAATCTGAAAAAGGGGGAAAAGAGCCCGAATTGTCCTTGATCAATGCAAACTCTACACACACTTCACACTATCACATATCACTTAGACAGTTCTTAGAACACTTGCAACTTTTTTTGTTGCTTGCGTAATCATGAGGTGTGAAAATAAACAGAGTGCCATTTTCATCCAAGTGAAGAACAAATAACAAGAAGTTCAAAAGTTGGGAAGGTGCAAGCTCATTTTTGATATGAGGCTTCATTCTTTGACATAGATCTTCTTCATTAATTTAATTGATTAGTTCGGTTATCAGTAGCAGGAAGGCTACTTTGAACTCCCAATTAGAAGTTATCACCGAAAAAAACTTGGCGACGAAAAGGAAATTGGTTTTTAGTGAGAGAAGATCTAGAAAGACTCTTGATTGATATGATTCACTGATGGTTTCATTCAAAAAAATGTGTAAAAAAGTTTGGAAGTCTACTGTTCGTAAGTCGGCTGGTTGGATGAGTTGCTTGTAAGTGTTTTGAGTTGCTAGTCAAGTTTTCAAGCTTTCAGAAATTGGAATTTTTGAAAAGCTGCACTAGAACAATGCGAGACAGTTCCTGAGTTCCATACGCACTTAATTTTGGAACCAAAATATTATAATAGTTTTCTGCAAACCCATTTCTAGATAATCTCCACCCTCGCAACAATAATCCTTCATAACCTAGCTTGCAAACATTTTTCCTACTTCCTTTGAGTTCACTTTCTGTCACCCTTTACAACCTTTCAACCATTTTTTTCCGCTTCAATTAATTTAGATAAGCTCTCATATCACTCTCAAATTTATCATTATAATCGGCTGCTGGCGTGGTGCTGACTTTTTGCCTGGTTCTTATCAGTTCGAAAATTGACAATTTGAAAAAAGGGCACAAAAAATCGCAACTTTTTTTTGATTGGTTCTGGTTGTTGTTAGGTAGACTGCTATCTTTTATTTCAGTTGTTTTCCTTCCTTCTGAGTGCCAAACTTATAATGTTCTTCTAGTGAAAATTGCTATCATTAGATCTGGAAATTCTTAGAATCTAAACCTTAACACCAGATTAAGTGTGTCCTGAAATATTTCGTTTCCTTTTTCTTATCATACTTCTGTCAAAAAAAATTATTTCGAAATTGTCTAGAACTTGCAAGAATTGTCATATTTAAGTTTAGACACTATTCATTATAAGTTTAGACACTATTCAATTCCATAAACCATCATTCTGAGAAAGTTTAATCCGAATAAAAAAAAACTTACAGTGATCCAACTCTATCAGTGAGCTGTCCGAAAGTGACCACCGAAATGCACGAGCGTCTCAACTTCCCAAAAGTCGAACTCCATTTGCATCTCGATGGAGCAGTCAGATTTGACACACTGCTCGAGCTTTCTCAGTGAGTTTTTTAAAGTTTGATTTTCTTTTTCAGAATGATAGTTTTCCAGACAAAAGGGAATCTCATTGGCTGGAGCTAAAACCGTTGAAGAGCTCAAAAAAGTGTTGGTCACCCACGAGCCAGCTAACCTATCAAAGGTTCTGGAAGCTTTCGAGATCTTTTTGCCAGTGATTCGTGGAGACTTGAGTGCAATTGAACGAGTCGCTTATGAGCTTTGTGAAGATCAACATAAAAATGGAGTTGTGTATTTCGAAGGAAGATATTCTCCTCACTTGTTGCTGAGCAATGATTATCCAGAAGTAACTGCATCCCATGTTGTGGCAGCTGTCAAGAAAGGATTCGATAGAGGAGAGAAACAGTTTGGAATCAAGGCACGTTCCATTCTTTGCTGTATTCGTGGTCTCGATAAAAAGTTCCCTCAATTAATTCTCGATTTGGGTAAGTTTTCTTATTTCAGAAAGAACATTATAATATTTCCTAATTCCAGCCACTGATTTGAAACAACTTGGAGTAGTTGCCATTGATGTTGCTGGATCAGCCCACGGAGCCGACGAACAGTACGAGCCAGAAGTTATTGCTGCATTCAAAGAAGCCTATAAACGAGGAATCCACAGAACAGTTCATGCAGGAGAATCTGGTGGTCCAAAAGAAGTGATGAGAGCAATTGAGGATATGCACGCAGAGAGAATCGGACACGGATACCGTATCATGAGAGATGAGGAATTGTACATTGAGAACTTTGTGAATTCCAAGCACGTCCATCTTGAAGCTTGCCCATATTCTTCAGTTATGACAGGAGCTGTTCCGTTGGATTGGAAGAATCATCCCATTGCCAGATGGGCTCAGGATGACGTTAACTTCTCGGTTTCTCGTGATGATCCAACATGTTTCGATAATACAATGCTTAGTGAATTGACTCTGGCTCACAAGCAAGTTGGATTGACTATTCACCAACTTTGGAAAGCTGTAATTTGCTGGTTGTCAAGTATCTTTTTCAAAATATCAATTTTTCAGCAACTCAACGCTGCCCGTTCATGTTTCCTCCCTGAAGACGAAAAAGCGGTACTCGTGAAACTAGTTGAAGCTGGAGAGCCACCACTTCCATAAACATTTCATGTGCTGTTATCCATTATTTGCAAACTGATTCCTCCTTTTATCCTTTTTTCTTTTTCCTCTTCCCTTTCCTGAACACATTCCTACTGAATCGACTTCTTCTGATTCCTCGTCTGAATAAATGAAACTTTATGCCTTCTGACTTTGTTTCTTTGTGCCGTTTCTCTTTATACAACGTTTCACTTATAAATAAAAAAACAATTTTAACAAGAAACACTTCAGGTTTATTATTCTGGTACAAAAAGACCGGAGCTGTTGGAAGAGAAAAGCGGCTCTTTTCTAGAGGTCCGAAAAAAGATTAGAGGTCCCGAAAAATTTAGAGGTTCGAAAAAAAAATTAGAGGTCCCAAAATAAAATAGAGGTCCGAAAAAAAATTAGCGGTTCCAAAAAAGTTTAGAGGTCCCAAGAAAAAATAGAGGTCCGATATTTGAAAAACTCACAGATATTGGAACTGTGTAACAGATTTTGAACTGTGTACGAAATTGAATTTCTGTGGTCTTATTTAAAAAAAAACATGTAAGTGTTGATGATATATTAGGTTGGCGGGAAAGTCTTTGTCACTCTGTTTGTTTAATCACTGTTCTCGTATATGGAGGCTGTGTATGATATCGACTCTAGTGAATAACAAGGTGATAAGAACCTTCCATATAAACAAGTCCCCATCTCCTTCCCTGCTCCTCATCTGTAATTGAAACGATATGTTTGTTCCCACTGCTATTCACATCAGACATGTTTTGATTTACCTCTTCCTATCTCACACCACGATGAAGGATTCGGAAACTTTCTTGAAGAATGTGTACAACACACATGCCCCTCACTACAATACTATTCGCAATTGGTTCCATCGTTTCGAAAAAGATGACTTCTCGCTCGATGAAAAGGATCGCTCTGGGAGACCCCGTGAGTTGGATTTGGACAAGCTGAAGCACGCATTGCAATCGGATCCATTTCAATCTAGCCGTGAACTAGCTGTCACATTCGGAGTTCACCATAGCACAGTCCTTGAAGGTTTGAAGTCTCTTGGAATGAGAAAACTTTTTGGTCGATTCATACCTCATCACCTGACTCAAGCCAACCTTGACCGCCGAGTCGACGATTCGATTACTCTTCTCACTCTCCACGCGGGCGATCATGGCTGGACCGGCTAATAACGGAGATGAGAAGTGGGTCTTCTACGATAATCACCACAGGAAATCCCAGTGGGTTGGAGAAGGAGAGAGCCCACAGGATGTCCCCAAACCCGACCTTCATCCAAAAAAAGTTATGCTCTCTGTGTGGTGGGGAGTGGACGGCCCCATCTACTGGGAACTTCTGCCCGAGGGCAAAACAATAACTGGAGACCTCTACACTACTCAACTACGAAACCTCAAGAAAGCAGTCGACCGTTCGGCCCTGAAAGACAAGAAAGTGTACTATCAACATTATAACGCTCGCCCACATGTTTCGAAACAAGTGAAGCAGGAGCTGATGGGATATGGATGGAATGTTCTCCCTCACCCCCCGTATTCTCCTGATCTTGCTCCTTCCGACTATTGGTTATTTGGCGATATGACACGTGCCTTCGAAGGAAGAAGCTTCAATTCCCGTGGAGCGGTCGAAGCGGCACTCAAACAATACTTTGCCTCACGCCCGGCTGGATTCTACCGCAATGGAATCCATAAATTGAGGGAACGTTGGAGACATGTTGTTGATAATGATGGACAATATAATTAATTATTCGGTTATTTTTTCTTTGAGAAATAAACTATTGAAAAAGTGACAAAGACTTTCCCGCCAACCTAATATTTTATACTTCATGTATTTTATACTTCATTGATGCATATATATTTTATACTTCATTGATGCATATTTTCTGAAAATTATCTAACCCTGCGAGAAAGCTTATTCACGGAGGCATTACTGTTTGCCGACGTTTTGCTTATATGTGAATAGGGGTCTATAAGAAAGACAAAAAAATAATAATTGGAGCCAAAACTATCAGGAGAAGGCACATTTCCGTTGTTATCATCCTAGAGAGCCTCAAGACTCGAAACTCCAAATTCTGGCACATTATTCTAATACCTGCGCGTTTTTCAAATATCGGACCTCTATTTTTCTTGGGACCTCTAAACTTTTTTGGGACCACTAATTTTTTTTCGGACCTCTATTTTGTTTTGGGACCTCTAATTTTTCTGGGACCTCTAAATTTTTTGGGACCTCTAAACTAGAAAAGAGCTAGAAAACTGGTAGCCGTGACAGAAGGTCCCACAACGACCGTAACTTACAAGAGAACCTCCACACCTCACTGATGAAAACTTCAGGATACGTCAGAGATATCCTATCTAGACACCTCTGAAAATTTCTGAAAAATCACCTGAATTCAGTACTAAAACTTTGGACTGAAACAACCGGCTGAAACTGGCGGGCGGTTTCTGAAATTTTCAGGGGTGTCTAGACAGGCTATTCCTAACCTATCCTGAAAATTTTATCAAATTCTGGGTGTGTGAGGTGTTGAGGTTTCCTTGTTAAACATATTTTTATTTTCTTGCTTTCACTGCTTTCGTCGAATTTTCTGTTATTTTTGGTCAGTCGGAAAATAAAATTTTGATCGGGAAAATATGCCAATTACTCTTTGACTACACCACTCTTTGACTACACCTACTCTTTGACTACACATTCTCTTTGACTACATAGTCTCTTTGACTACATTTATCTCTTTGACTACACTTGTGTCTTTGACTACACTTTTTAAAATTTTAAAATTTTCTGCAGTTTCTTGTGGGCGTTCTCACAGAATATAAGAAGAATTTGAGCCTAAGCCTATAATTTTAAACAAAAAAACTGACAATTCCAAAAATACATCACAGTGAAAAAAGTACTGAAATTCGCGAAAATCAGCGAAATTCTCACTTTTTTTCGCTGAGATTTCCAAATTTTTATTATTTTCTGTACAAATCAAAGGCTTAGGCTGAAACGGTTACCGGAAAACTGGTGTTTTAGCCTAAGCCTACAATTTGAGACAAAAATCGGAAACTCCAATAAATTCAGTCAAAAAGTACTATAAAACAAAAAAGTGTAGTCAAAGAGACTTTGTAGTCGAAGAGACAAGTGTAGTCAAAGAGAATGTGGAGTCAAAGAGTAGGTGTAGTCAAAGAGTAATTGCCGGAAAATATTGACCTAAAAACACGAAAATCGAGTTATTATTTAAATCTGGAAAATAAAATACTTTTAGGTTACGGTAGTTGTCGGCATGAGACCTTCGGCTGCGGCCACCGATGTCTCTCGGTTTTCTGTACGAGAATTATATATTAAAATGTTCAAAGACTACATTCTCTGTGCATTGCTTCAATCGGGATAACACTTATCCTTCTCCTTCAAGAAATCTAGACGGATTAAATTTTTTTTTTGGAATTTCCCTGCTGAAAATCAATTTATCGATTTAATTTTTTTTTCTCAAGTACTGAAGCAAACATCACTCTCTCATCATAATTCAGTATCATGTAGACCTTTGATCCTAGATTAGATTTCTCACTCTTGTTTCCTTATCATGTTGGCGCCTTCGTTTTCTTTCGAAACTAAAAGATTATCGGTTGACCACACGAATTTTCGAAAGTCATTCGTTTACTATTAGCAATCACATCGTTTTCCATCATTTATTCTCTGAAAATTTGGCGAATTTTTGATAGAAGATACCAAATTACAATTTTTGTATTTATTTCGACTGCTTTCAGTGCTCTCACACAATGCCGATAAGTTGTCCGGACATCAACAACGAAATGCTAGAGCGTCTCGATTTTCCAAAAGTCGAGCTTCATTTACATTTCGAAGGCGCGGTGAGATTCGAAACACTTCTTGATCTTTCTAGGTTTGTTTGTCTGTGAAAATCTTACAAAGTGTTAATTCTAAAATTCCAGGCAAAAAGGCATTCCATTGGCTGGTGCTAAAACTGTCGACGAACTAAAGAAAGTTCTGGTGACCCATCAACCAGCTGATCTCGCAAAAGTTCTGGAAGCTTTTGAAACCTTCCTGCCAGTGATTCATGGGGATTTGACTGCTATCGAACGAATGGCGTACGAACTTTGCGAGGATCAGCACAACAATGGAGTCGTGTATTTTGAAGGAAGATATTCTCCACATTTAATGCTTTGCAACAACCAGCCCGTAACTTTTCTTTGTTTTCATCATTTTTTAATTAATTTTAACAGGATGTGACCGCTGCTGATGTGGTAGAAGCAGTGAAGAAGGGATTTGATAGAGGAGAGGCACAATTTGGAATCAAAGCCCGCTCCATACTCTGTTGCATTCGAGGTCTCGACCGGAAATTTCCACAATTCATTCTTGATTTGGGTAAATTTTCGAAAAAAAACTTTTCACGGAGTTCTATATTTTTTCAGCCACTGATCTTGCGGGCCTCGGAGTTGTCGCTATCGATGTAGCCGGGACAGCTCACGGAGCCGACGAGCAGTACGAGCCAGAAGTAGTCGCCGCGTTCCAGGAGGCTTACAGAAGAGGAATCCATAGAACAGTTCATGCTGGAGAGTCTGGAGGAGTTAAGGAAGTGATGAAAGCAATTAAAGAGATGTACGCGGAGAGAATTGGACACGGCTACCGAATTATGAGAGATGAGCAGTTGTATATTGAAAATTTTGTGAATTCGAAAACTGTTCATTTGGAAGGCTGCCCATATTCTTCAGTTATGACTGGAGCTGTACCGTTGGATTGGAAGAATCATCCCATCGCCAGATGGGCTCAGGATGACGTTAACTTCTCGGTTTCTCGTGATGATCCAACATGTTTCGATAATACAATGCTTAGTGAATTGACACTGGCTCACAAGCAAGTTGGATTGACTATTCATCAACTTTGGAAAGCTGTAATTAATCTGTACACGCTCTCCCACAGAACAATTCCGAACTGCAAATTAATTTTTGATCTACAGAAAAAAAGTTTGGCGCGATCACAATTGCAGGTCTAAAGCCATAATTTCAGAATTTTTTATCTGATTTAGTGTAGTTCCAAGATGTTTCAAATGATTTTTAAAAAATTAATTAGTGGTTATAGATTCATGTATGGTCGTTTTCCGGAAGAAAAAAAATGTCAAAAATGGTCATTTTGAAAGTTTTTTACAGAAAAACTGTATCTCCTCTTTCAGTTTTTGACATTTCTAGGAGTTTTATAGCTCAAAAAACCCGCAATTATTTTCTCTACATTTTCTATGGATGAATTTTTAATCCGTCTGATAAAACTTTTTTATAATCGAAAAACAACGCAAAAATGCTATTTTGTGCAATTTCATGAGGTTTTTGAATTATAAAAAAGTTTTATCAGACAAATTAAAAATTCATCCATAGAAAATGTAGAAAAAATAATTGCGGTTTTTTTGAGCTATAGAACTCCTAGAAATGTCAAAAACTGAAAGAGGAGATAGATTTTTTCTGTAAAAAACTTTCAAAAATGACCATTTTTGACATTTTTCTCTTCCGGAAAACGACCATACATGAATCTATAACCACTAATTAATTTTTAAAGAATCATTTGAAACATCTTGGAACTCCACAAAACCAGATAAAAAATTCTGAAATTATGGTTTTAGACCTGCAATTGTGATCGCGCCCAACTTTTTTTTCTGTTGATCAAAAATTAATTTGCAGTTCGGAATTGTTCTGTGGGAGAGCGTGCTGTATAATTTTTTCATCACACATTTTTTTTTCCAGCAGCTCAATGCCGCCCGTTCCTGTTTTCTCCCAGAGGACGAGAAAGCAGATCTCGTGAAATTGATCGAATCCAGAGAGCCGGCACGTCCATAATCACTTCAGTGGATCCTCAAACTGCTAAACATTTTCCTTTCGAATGGCTTAGAGTTGTTAACTTTTTTTTCTCCTTATGTTGTTCATATTGCTACATTTCGATTCTATGAATCTTTCCGAAATCAAATTATCGGATTTAATTTTGGTAAAAAAGTCAACAAGAAAAAAAGGAAAACTACACTAAAACAAGCATTAAATCCCAGCGGAATGAAAGACAAGATAACTCTATCTCCAGTTCGATTCTCATGATCACATGGCAGCTCCGTTGGCTTGGGCGTTCAGTATTTGATGTTCTTGGAACCGTTGAGAGACCCGTTGTGTCATCTGAAATTAGAGAAACTTGAAAACATTCTATTCTATAAATTATATCAACGAGAATCACCAACCTTGAGAAATTTGTCGAGACAATTGTTAGCGCACGACTCCTCTTTAGCGTTGACCGTCCTACTGCCGAATTCGTTGACACACGATGTAAAACATTGCTCAGCGACCAAGTTGTATTGAGTGAGGAAGTCACGGAATGTCTGAATGTTCTGTTCGCTGGCCATCTAGAAATATTTGAGTATTTATTTGATATTCATAGAAGGAGAACGATTTTTCTTATATTCGGAGACGAATAAGCTTGAAAATGTGTCTAAAATTATGACAAAAACTGAAAAACTATAAAAGCATGAATTCAAATCGATAAAACATGGAAAATATATATTGCAGAAGTCATGTAAAAGTCGGAAAAAAAATTGGGAAGCAAACCAACTACTTCTGCTGACGCAACTTTCGTCAATGTTTGCGTCTCTTAACCCACACACTCTTTTTTTCGCTCGTTCAAGTCAACATACTGCGAAAGAAAAATAAGATTTAGCTCGATAAATTCACAAAACCAGACAGTGAAAAAAATTATTAATGGGAAAAATGAACATTCTTGACCGGTTTCCGACGTATTTACAGATTATTCAAGTTCAATTTCAAATTGTTCCGGATTTCCAAAACAGACTTCCCGAAAAAGAAAAGAAGGTGGAGTCGAATTGCTCACTAGTGAGCTCTACAGATTTAATTTTATAAATCGGACTTATTGGTTCCGGGAAAACTGCCTTCCAAAGTGTTCCTTAGGGATCCGTCTCAGGTCCTCTTCTATTTCTCATTTTCATCAATGATTTGCTTTTAAAACTTGAACAGATCCCCTCTCTTCATCTGGCGGCCTTCGCTGATGATATCAAGTTATATTCACACGACCCAATCGTTCTGCAAACTGGTATTAACAAGGTGGTAGATTGGGCTGCTGCCAACAATCTTCCTCTTGTCCACTCCAAAACTGCCCTTCTTCGCCTAGGTTCCCATAACCCTACCCATCCTCTCAATGTTGCTGGTATTTCACTTACACCCTCCTCTTCCGTCCGGGACTTGGGTCTCATTACTGATCCCTCTCTCAAATTTTCAGCGCATATCAACAAAGTCACAGCCTTAGCTCTTCTCCGTTCCAAACAACTCTTAAAGTCATTTAGATCTAAGTCTCCAGAATTCTACATTCATCTGTTCAAATGCTATGTTCTCCCGTTTATTGAATTTTGTTCTGTAGTTTATTCCCCACCACCCTCTTCTCGCCTTTCTCTAAAACTAGAATCTCCCTTAAAGGTGGTGTGCGGTGAAAAATTTTATTGCTTTTTTTGTGCAGAAATTCATGTAGATTCCCATAAAACAAAAGAAAAAATTCAAAAAAAATTCCTTCATTGAAAAAAAACGGCGTCGAAAAGTCAAAGTGGGAACCGGTGGCCTAGCGGCCAGGTGTGAGTTTTCTAGCCCAACTGCCGGTAAAAGCGCGCGAAATCGAATTTCGAATTCGAGTTCGAGTTCGAATTTTTATTGATTTTCAGTGTTTGCTCAGATTTTTGTCAGGTTTTTTATACACCATGTAGGAAATTAACGAAAAAACGAAATCTTTGATAACGAAATCTTTGAAAACATCAGAGAAAACACTGAAAATCAAAAAAATTTGAATTTCGCGCGCTTTTACCGGCAGTTGGCCTAGAAAACTCACACCTGGCCGCTAGGAAACCGGTTCCCACTTTGACTTTTCGATGCCGTTTTTCTCAATGAAGGAATTTTTTTCGTTTTTTTTCTTTATTTTTATGGGAATCTACATGAATTTCTGCACAAAATAAAGCAATAAAATTTTTCACCGCACACCACCTTTAAGATTTTTCTCTAAGTGTATTTTCCAGCGTTGTAATATCCAGTACAGTTCCTATTCTGATCGTCTCTCTATCCTCAATATGTTCTCCATTCGACATTGTAGGTTAAAAGCTCAACTAATCCTTCTCTATAAATTTTTAAATGGCTCCGCCTACTTTCCTAACCTAAGTGCACATGTCAAATATTCCTCCTCCCCTCGTCGCCCTATGAACTTAATTAATGTACAGCCCCACTCCTCTGACTATTTTTCTTCAATTTTTCCCCTGTGGAACGCCATCACTTCCCCAGTTACCCGATTTCTCCTACCTTCCGAGTTCGAATCCTTAATTTCTTCAAGTATTACTCGTTATTGATATATTTGCTCCACTATTTTTTTCTCTTCTTCTACTGGTTACATTTTTCCTGTGTCATATACCTAAATTATCCCGTTTTCCCTCCACTACTCAGATCGGCCTCGTGAGGGCATTTTCTGAGTCTTTCATGTCTTGCCCTCTAATGTTTTATTACACCTGATCAATAAACAAATTACAAAATATATTCTTGTAAAACTTTGTGAAAGATAAAACTGGTTCGTTTGATATAAACTTTTAACAAGGATTTTTATTCGTCCAATTCAACTAGAAAATTCTAGCAAACTTTGAATATAGGGAACTTCTAGTAAGTGAGACTCTAGCAAATGATCTTCTAGCAAAGGAGTATTTGCCGAATGGAACAAAACTAACTTGAAATTTGATTCTTCAAATCCCAGAAACTTCGTTATTTCAAAATTACCCCATGTTAGTATCGTAGAACCACTGTGGAGAAGCAAATAGGAAAAAAACTACGATATATTTTTAGTCGTTGTTTGGTGATGGCAGTTCTTTATGGTAATCAAATTTCGAGGAGAAAATATCTGAAGAACAAAAAAAAAATTTAATTTTCCCCTTTTAGTTCTTTCCGAGTTATAATGTAAGGAAATCAAATTCCAAATTCCATTAACTTCTTCTGACTTGTCCTTTCCATCCTTTCCATTTCCCTAGATATTGCCCTTCTAGATCCCTGATCCTTTGATCCATTTCACAATTCTCCAAACCTCTCCTCAAACGAATCTAGTCTTGACAAATAATAAAAACGGAAGGCCTTCTTCATGTTTCGATGCTCATTTCGTGCATTTTCCTTCTCATTTTTTCTTTGAATCTCTCAATTTTCCTCTCTATTTCCCTCACTATTTCCCTCTGCCCGTGTAATTTTTAAAATCCGCTAGACTATGCTGCATAGGTGAGGATATGCACAACTATTCTCTCTTTCCCCGGCTTCCTCATATTCAAAATCAACCTAATCTTCTCCTCGAAATATACATATTTTCATGCGGCGGGGCAAGTGTTGGAGGGCTAGAGTGTAGTGTTTAACCAAGACACAATCTCCCGAAGATTCCGAATCAACTACTGTGTCAATTGAAAACAAAACCTTTTGGGTTGTTTTAATGATCTTTTTTGATGAAAGAGAAACATTTTTGATTTGTCTTTTTTTTGGCATTTTTGAATCTCTTTGTGTTTCAATAGAGGCCACTTTTTCATTTTCTTCTCCTTCCTTTTTCTCTGTCATGGCTACCTTGAAATTGCTTCTTTCTTTAGAAATGGTGTTTTATTCGTGCCTTAATTTTGACCTTTCATATCATTTTTAGTCACTTCTTAGGCTCCATCTAGGCTCGACATCAAGAATTTTCTTCTTCAAATTTCCCTTCACAAATCCAATTAGACTCCACTTATCACTGATCAAAACTTAATTGATCTTCTGTTCTTCTTCTTCTTCTTCAAATTGATATCCTAGTTTCCTTATAAAACCCCAAAGAAAAATCAAGTTTCACTGACCTTCTAAGCAAATACTCTCTTCTTGATTTTCTTTTTTCCCTCCCCAATCCTTCTCACCCTAATCTCTTTTCTGAACCTCGCTCTAATAACTTTCGAATAAGTTCAATTCAGCACATTATGTGTTTCTAGTCAAAAAAGTGTTGTTGAACATGCTGATTAAATTATTAATCATACATTTTCACATTTTTTTCCGTCTCGTAGAAAAAGAGATCAACGAAACACGAATTAGCCAAGACACATCAAGTTTCACAAAGAGTTGGTTAAATATATCCTAGAATTTTAGATCTCTCTCCAATTTTTCTAGATAATATCTCAGATATTCCGGCTCTAACACCTGCTTGATAAGTACACTGCCATACGCCACATGTTCTGTCAGAGTGTATCAAATTTCCAGCATCCCCCTTTCGAAGTACATGTGCCTTTCACATGGTCTAGAACTTTCCAACCTTTCACATGGTTTGAATTATAATCTTTAAAAATCGTCAGCATAGTTGTTCTGTAACAGAAAAATGATTTTATTTAAATCTACCCCCATAATCTATGACCAGTTTATTGAAGACCCCAAAAAACGAGAGAAGACCCCCTAAAGAGACCTGTGAGAGAATCAAAAAGTACGGGACAGAGATTACGATAATTGCAGAGGCGCAGATGATACAACTGAGAGATAAGCGTTTTCTCTATGTCTGCGTCTCTCTGATCGGTCCACTCTCTTACGTTTCACGGTTTCTGTGTGTTACCCTTGGTTGGCGAAGATGATCGAGAGACAACTTTATAAAATTCTACTACACACTTTGACACATTGTATTAGTTGTCTAACAATTAAGCAGATCACATAAATTTTTGAATCTCGATTCTGGTGTTCAGTATACACTCAAACAAAAACTCCCGTCAAATCCTTGGTAACATCTCTAGATTACCTTTTTCAAAAAGGCTTTTTGTGAATTCGTTTCAGTTAGTTATCTAAAATTTCCTCCAAATTTATTTAGATCTCTTTTACCACTATTTGAATTTGCTCCCTATTTGCTCTTTATGCTCCCTACAGAGCAGAAAGGCACATGTGTGTAGTATTTGTCAATGTAGACGACAAAAGACTACAGACACAAAGTTTATGATGCTTCTGGTTTTTTGAAATGTATCTATTTAGTGGTTTTTCAATAAATGGGTTCCTAATATCAAATTATAGGTTAATTTTTGTTGTAGTTTCGTTTGACTTTCATCGAATCACAAATATAACAAATGACTTAAAGGATATCCTTGTACATATCTATGTCATCAAGATCTTTGATATTTTCGAATTTTGGACTTTCTTCTTCTTTTTCAGAAACCACGTGACATGTTCAGGTGGTGATATGAAAAATTGTCTGTTTTGATATCTTTTTCTCTGTGTCCTCTTTTTTTTGGGTTTTTCCTCTTTTTTTTGTTTCCGGACCTTAAAGTTACAAAAAGACCTGTATTATAAGGGCCCCCACGCTGTCAAGTTTAAGCTAAATTATGTTAATTCGTATGCAATATATCAAAGATGTGTCAACTGACAAAATAATTTTAATATTCTGACAAACAGTTTATCAGTTGACAACTTTTTTATTTTGAGAAAAATTGGTTCAAAATTAAAATTTTTGGGTCCTTCTTTCACAAGTTTACTTTACCCTGAGATTTTTCATTTCAAGCTTTCTAAAAGTTGTGCTCAAAATTTTTTGCCTTGTGAAAACAAACTCTAATTTATTCCTTTTTGTTTCATTGGTGTCAGAAAATATCATCAAGATCAGAAAGTTATTGGCAGAATCAGACATTTTGCAAAAATAAAAACTCGTGTTAATCAGACAAAGAACAAAAATCATTAACTGATAAGGTAGAACATAAAACTGGTTTTGAGTAACTCTTTGATTTGACCTTCAGAATATCCTTATATCCACCATGAATCTATAAAACTAAAACTTCCAATTTTCGCTAAATCATCCAGTATGTTTCAAAATTTCCGATCATCGCCTGATCGATTTGTGATTGTTGACCTCTTCTCGTTCTCCCCCTTTCTGACATCATTCTACCAGTTTTACTCTACTAGTTTTCATATATATTAATATCGCCTCTCTTTTCTCTCTAGCATATTCTAGATCTATCACGACTACTGTTATTCTGATTGTGACGTCATTGATTTCTCTATTCTTTATATTTCCAAATCACTTTGTTTCGTGTGTGATAAGTGATAACTAGACATAATTGCAAAACAAGAGAGTCGTGAGGGAAAGGATACAACCGTTAAAATAGCGTGCGCGATGTAAGAGAGCACACGGCGCGATCTTTAAAAGTGGAAACTCCGCCTATTCTGGTGGCATAGACAAAGCAGCGCTCAGAGAATGATCAAAATATCAGTGATTCAGAAGGAATATAGACGAAGAGTGTGTGTGTGTGTGTGTGTGTGTGAGAGAGAGAGAGAGAGAGAGAGAGAGAGAGAGAGAAAAGAAAACCGACTAATCTGTTTTCAGACTCGGACCAGACTGCTCTTTTAGGCTCCACCCCCACTCATTTTTCTTTTCCTTATTTCCTTATTGCTGCTAACGTCTTCTTATTCTGCTCCAAAATGAGCTGGTCCTATTACAGACAATCTATGACATATCTTGATCCGATGGATACATCAATTCCAGAATTCCCTATGCATGAAGACGAAGGTAAGTCTTTTTTTCGTTATTCGTAATTTTTGAAAGCTAAAAAAAATAGTCTAAGTAATTCTTCCACCCAAAAAGTTATTAAAAATTTGTAGCACATCTTCTCCCAACTGAAAGATCTACAACTTCCCAGGAATTAGAAAACGAGTTGATTAATATCCAATCCTGAAAATAAATTATTTTGCATAAGTGGCTAATCTTTCCCACCTAGTTAAGAAAATGATTAGCTAAGGACTACAGAAAGGATTAGTCATTTAGTACAGCATAATGAGATCAAAGAGTTCAGATCCGTAGGAGCCAACAGACTACAGCAACAAGAACTGGATATCTATGTAGTTTGTGCTGTAGTTTTTGAACGCTAATTATTTTCTCATCAGAAAGTTCAAAAATCTTCCAAGTCTAGACAAGAAATCTCAAGGAGGCTTATTAGTTCCTGCTGAGAAATAAATATCATTTGGACAATAATTATAAAAGGTGCTTTCTCAAAAACAAAAAAGAAGAATTCCCATATTATTTCCCAAGCGAAACAAACTACATATGAAATGTACTCGTGTTTTCCGGAAAAATAGTGAAAGATCATGAAATTGGCACTTATAGCCTAAAAGTTTTAGGCAACAAAAGACGCCAAAACAAAGTAATATAGTGATCAATATTTTTGCAATCAAAAATATTCCAGAAGCTGGACCCAGTATGAAATCCAACGAAGAAGAGGGGCCAAGCTGTCTGGTCTGTGGAAGAATTGCAAATACCGGACATCATTATGGAGTTACAGCTTGTCTGGGATGCAAAACTTTCTTCAGACGAGTCGTTCTTCAAAAGAATTCACCTAAATGCAAGTATAAGAATCAGTGTAAACTCGAGAAGAGTGAGTCATTTTTTTCGAGCTTCTGAATATTAAAAAAAAACAAATTTCCAGCTGAAAACGCAAAAAGACTCTGCAGAAGTTGTCGCTACCAAAAATGTTTGAATGTGGGAATGACAGAAGATGGTACGTTTTTTCGATGTTTAGCAGTAACTGATTATACAATTTTTCAGCTCTTCACCCTTGCCGTGATGTGATTGGTCGCCGAGCTCGTCAACCCTCATCAGACTCATCTCCAATTTCCAGTCCACCATCAATATCTCCACAATTATCGGTAAGTGAAATAGATTTGAGAATCGGAGCTCAACCAAAGTAATTGAATTACCAAAAAAAAACAGTAATAGAAGGACCCATACCTTCAAGTTTGAGCTAAATTATCTCAATTTCTGTACAAGATACCAAAAATGTGTCAATTGAAAAAATACATCTGAACAACTTATCACTTGACTACTTTTTCAAATCATTGACAGGGACCGAGCAAAACGACTGAAAGTAAAAAGTTAGGGGTCCTTTCATTACAGTTTTTACTGTAAATCAATTCTCTTTAAGGGATATTATCACCCTCCATTTCTGACTCCGGTGTCCGATTCACAAAAAGAGTTGCGCGTAACTATTCCTCTGTGCTTTCCCCTAGTGTGTACGTTGCAGATATGCAAAATGATGTCCTTATGCGAAGGCGACTACGAACTATTGCAGACAATCACCGACACGGACACAGACATTCGGACACGGACGGCACATATTCTGGGAGAGCCGTTGAATGAAGAAGGACATCAGATTCACTTTTATAGTCCAGTGAGTGTCAAGACGTGTAACTTTTAAAACAACAGAAAACACTTTTAGCCTCCCGATTATTCGAATGTTTCTGTGAATCATGGAATTGGCCCATCGTTGAAAGTCGACATTATTCTTCTCAAAGAATGGGTCAGTCGGATTCCAGGCTACCCCGAACTCAGTGAACGGTTCCAAGAGCACCTTATGTCTCGCTTCTGCTTGAGATACACAGTTATTGAACATGGCCTTTTCACAGCTCAAATGCCGTATCACAAGAATGTTTGGTGAGTTGATTATTCACAACGTTATCTCAATTAATATTTTGCAGGTTCCTTTCCGACCGAACATGTCTGGTCAGTGAATTCGAAGACCTTCCCAAAGAAATCAAATGCCATCTGACCTCAAAAGTTATCAAGGAGCAAAAACTGCTTGCTCCATTCACAGAAATGCTCATTCACGATGTGGCCGATCCATTGAGAAAATTAAAACCAGATTCTGTGGAGATTGCCAGTGTTAAGACATTGATGTTGCTCAGTAAGTTTTAGTATTAACCAAACTTCTGAAACTCTATATATTTTCAGAACCAACATGTCTGAAAGTAGTAGAAGGAGATTATTTGGCGACACAAAATGATCTGAAAATAATCAATGAAGTTCGCAATCGAGTTCTTTCTGGATTATTCTCTCACTATGTCAAGAAAGGTTTGGATCCAGAAGCTCTGCCGATTAGGATTAGTGAGGTGAGGAACCCACATTATAGTTCTTTCATAAACTACTGTCTTATTTAGATTCTCGAATTGACTGGTGGAGTGGAAACGTGTGCGAATCGGGCTCTCGAGGAAATGCATCTGCTTCGTGTCTTCAATTTATCCGCCTTTGACCAGTACAGTGAGGGAGTGATTTTTGGATTGTGGCGAGACTATTAAAATGTTTTCCTATCATCAATATTATATTTCTCATGTATACAACTTCTCAAATCTGTGATTCTAGATATTTTTCAATAAAGATTCTATATTTGATCTGCTGTGAATACACATATCCATTTTTAAAAAGCAGAAATCCTCTAGAAGCTGTTAGTTCGACTAAACTGAAAACCAGTCGTTACCCAGGGCGTACCAAAGATGTGGATCTAATGGCGTTGTTCAGGCAACCTGCAAAAAACTAAAAAAGGAAAAAAACTCGGAGACTGAACCAATTTGGCTGAAACTTTTATGAAAACTGGAGAAATCTATAACGAACATATTGCCAAAATTTAGGGTCAAAATATCCACTTTGACCATTTGTATAAACTTTCAAATTGTTTGAAATTTCAGCCAAAGTTTCCATTTCAAAGTTTGTACGCAAATTTTGGGCAATATGTTCCTTAAAGTTTTTAACCCCGCAAAATGATAACTGTATAGTGCCGAACTATACAAATCGTTAAAATTTCAAACTTGTAAAATTGTTTTATGACTTCCCAGAAACATATAATACATCCTAATACCGCATCACTTCCTCTTCGTTATCTGTTATACTGGGATACAACCGTAATCGTTCTCATATCAGTGATCACTAATGTATTTAATGTCATTATCCAGGAGGTCAAATCTTCAGGTACCGTACAGGTCAATCGTCCTACTTGAGTCCATGGTTGTTCAATCGAATAAAGCTGAAACCAACACAACCGGATTTTCTTGTTCTCTATATAAAAATATACTCATTTTACATATGAAGATTTGTAATATTCGTGATCATTGTTGATGATAGTTCTGATAGACAGATAACATCAGATATTAAGCCATGTGAATCGTAATTTGCAAAATCTTGCTGCTAAACATCGGACGACAAGTTGGAACGAATCAGAACTATGATGACCAGAACTCATGGCCCGTGAAGATTCGCAACTGTTTTTGAAACCAGATTTAGTTTACTTGCAACTCTTGTGCATCTTGAATAATGATTATTCTCAAATCCAGAGGATTAAAAAATTTGACTTTTTTATTTCCCTTTGAAAAAGCAACACTTTTATAACCAGCGAAAAATTCAAAGCTGAAGAAATAGCTCTTAACCTAAATCGGAACTGTGTTTTTTTTTGGAATACAGTGAAATATTTTTCGATAATTTTATCATGAGCGAAATTCGCAAGCAAAAGTATCCATCATTAGCACACAGTTTTGAAACGTCATAGAGAACATGTTTTGTACATCTGCAACACTCCGTTTTTTGAAACTCATCACCATCTAGAAAAAAAACAAATACGTAGTGTCAAAACTATCGTGTTTTACTCACTCATCACATCATTTACTCCGTCAATCTTAATCCTTCCATTGTCTTGAAGATGGCTCATACCCAGAAGACGTGGTTTCAAATTTAGAATTTGGTGGAAACGGTGAATTCATTTCTTGCTGTTCAGATATCACAAAAAAGAACAATAATGTCCAGACAGACATGTGAATTGTTCTCCCATTGAGAATTCGTATAGCTGTAAATAGAACACTTCGAGAACAGTCATGTATGAGAACTGCTACAAATAAGAACTCACATAAATACGGACTGGCCCTAATGAAAACTGTTACATCAGCTTTTTTATAATGTGAACTGCTACAAATGAGAACTCAAAAGTCCGTTGCAGAGATATTCGGATTCTGAATTACATGAAATGTATTTTTGTCTGGATTATGTATTTCAGATTCCGTATTTTGGATTCCAAATTTAAATCGGATCCATTCCGGATATCTCTGGTTAGCTGAATTCGTGTCATAAAACAGTACTTTTTGGTCTTGTAAGCTTGGGAAGAACGAAACTTTTTGGAATTTTTCTGAAATAAATCTAACCGTCAGTATTTGAATGTTTTTTTCGTCATACTGTAATACTACAATGCCTTGTTCGTCAGAATAAGATGTTTGCTTGCTAGGACTTTTTTCGAAGCTTACTATTTTCCATGATACAGCCATACATCAAACCAAGTGAAGTCATGTGAATTAGAGTTTGAAACGTTTATATCGATACCATCTGACTTTCAATATCATCTCATTACTCATATTTTATTCTCACTTCTGAAACTAGACACTTCCAGAAATCTCCAGTCAATTGAATTCACTTATCTAATCTCTTTTACGTGTGTATTTCAATTCAATACCTTCAAACGTATTTCAAAAATCTAACAATCCTAATCCCTTTGGAATTTAACAATACTTATATTTTGTTCTTTTGTTCGCGAATATTTTGGATTACTATCTGTTACAACTCGAAAATCGTGATAAACAAACTACAAGAATGACGAGAATGGGCGTGTCTATCTCTCCCGATTTCAAATTTTGTGTTTTTCGAAAGATTAGAAAATCAGTCATACGTTTTCAATAGGTTTACAGTAACCTAATCCAAGTGTTATTTGATATATAGGTGTCTCATCAACCCACCCATTGAAAGCCTATTTTGATTTTTTTTTTTGAAGACTATATAAGAATGTAAAAGTTTTTGAAAAATACTATTCATTTGTTTGCTTCCTATAGGAAGTCACTGTTTCTGTGATTTTTTGGTTTTCTGTTTGAATAATAAAATACAATAAGCTTCATTATATTCCCCCAATTTTTCAGTATAAAAGTATCAGAAAGTGATCAGCAAAAACATTGGAAAAAAAAGTCAAAATGATGCCTGATGAACAGTTGGCTGGATTGATCGTCTTTCCGGTAAGAAAACTTTAAAGCTCTATAGGAATTATGATTCTGTTACAAACATTGGATCTATGGAAGAGTAAGGCCTCTGGTTATGGCCAAAGGTTCCACAACGAAAACTACCGTAACCTAAAAGTATTTTTACTTTCAGTATTTTTCTGACTACTTTTCTTTGAGTTTTCTGTTTTATCCGGAAAATAAATATGTTTTTGGTTACGGTAGTTGTCGTTGTGGGACCTTCGGCCACGACCACCCGCGTTTCTCTTCCACAGCTCCGATTTTTTTTTTGTACTAAAATATTGTGTGGACAATTTCAGCTCGCATTTATCGGAGTACTTGCCAATTGGACTGTGGCTCTCTTGATTCGAAAGCTTCCGTCTCTGAAAAATTCATTCGGAAGACTTACCGCTTCTCAATCCATTGGAGATGCAATTCATTCCACAGTTTTTGCATTCTTGTTTTCTCCAATGTGTTTTTTGTGAACAAAAATAAAATTACGAAAATTGCAAAGTAGAAGTTTCCAGCGGAATTGAGTTCATGAAAGATTACTCCTCTGTCATTGGTCATATCCTACTCATTGCCTACGACATCTCAACATATTCTCATTTGTGTATCTCTCTCAACCGTTTTTGCTCAATCGTGGCTCCCATCAAATATGATACCATTTTCAGGTTATTTTATTTTGAGATGAAACACTAATCATGGATTTTCAGCATGGCTAATACCAAAAAACTGATTATGTTCTCATGGGCTTGCGCAATTCTCCCTTCATTTTATCTCTACATCTACCGTAATCTTTTGGATAGAATATGAAAGATTAGAATTTATTATTTTTAGATGACTGTAAATTCTATTACATCGATGATTTTTGGGTTTTCACATTCTCCGCTACTCCAGTCTGTGGAACTATCGTTTGGTATGCGGATTTTTTGAAATACAATTCGATTGTTATATCGATTGTCATAATTGATGTTATCACTGTCTCCAAAGTTCGAAATTACAAGGCTAATGTAAGTTAGACGCTTCAAAATCATAGAGAAACTAAATTTTCAGCTCTCAAAAACCTGCTCGCAGACACACGCAAAGAAACGCAGTGCAGAAATGAACTTCTTGAAACAAGCCTGCCTTCAAGCATTTGTATTTGTTTGTGAACTCATCACCTACTTTTTGATCACTCCAAAAGTAGATGGAAGTGAGAGATGGCTCCGTTTCTTCTTGTCCACTGTAGCCTGGGTTTGCGTTCACATGCTGGATGGGTGAGTTTGAAAGCTTATCAGACCCAAAAAAAGTTTGAATTCTCAGAATCATTACATTGAGTTTCAACAAAGAATTCACTCAAACCATCTTTGGTGGAATCAGAATCAGTGAGTTTGCTTATCATTTTCAGAAAAAAAGTAATTTCTATTTTTGCAGAAGATCTATCTGGACACTCGGGAACTCATACTCATCATACTCGCCACGAAACTTCGAACACAAGCAAACATTGATTTTGAATGTTAAATCAAATAATGTATATACGTTTTCAAAAACAAAATTTTTTGTGAAAATAAAAATTTGAGAAAAAATAAACTAGTTTGATATCCTCTGTCCTCTCGCATTGCTCATCCCCGTTGCACTAACTCTCGAACTTTTGAAGATCTGAAATTCGGCTTCACAATCTCAGTCTCAATTTTCGCCAATTGTTACCGTATTCGGATTTTCCTCTCTACAGCAGAAAGCAGATTTGGCAGTATCCCGATATGGGGAGGAAACTAGCAAGCAGATAATACAATGAATCGATGCATTGAAAGTTACAAAAATATTCAAAATGGATATTACCTGAACAGCCGTCATTCTGAAAAGATTTTAATATGTTGTAGGGGTTCACTTGTAGATCACTCACAACTGAACCATCATATTCTGCTCCATCAGAATCCCCTGAGCCAAACTGACAACTCCAATTGGTCCATCAGCTACCATAAAAGTCATCGTCATGAAGATAACGAGTTTTGTAGTACTATCCGTTTTGGCACTAAAAGAAAACATTTCAGTTTCAATAGTTTATTGAAAAATGACTTTTCTGTAGGACTCCGCAGACTAGAGACACTAATCTGCCGTCGAGCATTCTGCAATGCTATGATGAGACATATTGTTAAAATAGGCAGCAAAACAGCAGAGGCGATCTGAAATTTGGAGAATATATTTTCATTTCGAATATGTGTTACCTTCAGAAAACCATCAGCGAGAAAATAAATTTGTAACGATGTCTCTGTTTTGAAAAACAGAAAGTCCTTGAAAGATGGAAGATATTGTGGCTCTGTATAGTTTGCAGGAAACCCTGCACAGCTGCAAACGGTCCATTGAAGGTTTTTTCTTCTCCAATGAAGGCTTACTGTGAGGGAGGAACCCAAGGGTTAGGTTGGATTTCAAAAGTCATCGGTCCAAAATAAAATGCCGATACAATTATGCTAATTATTAGAGAGAAGAACGATGATTGGATTCCGAATGCTCGTTTTGAAATATAATTTAATTTCGGATTCAATGAACTTCTGATAATAAGAATACGGATAGAAGCTAGTAGAACTCCAAGCCAAGAGGACAAACGACGAGCAATCTCTTTAATGTTGAGAGTTGTTATAGCCATCAACACTTGTGAGTACGTTGCTACGTTAACGCTTAAAAAGGGTTCTGTAATAACGAACACTAGCCTTTTTTGAACCATTCTTGGTCTGAAACAGAATACGAAACTCGGTTATAAACTAGATAAATCATATTTAATAGATCGCAAATCGCAATTCCTGCCATGATCATATTTATGCTGGTGTGTCTCATCGATTTTCTTGTCAGAATAATTAAATGGAATATATTGAGAATTGCCCCAACACAGGCAGGTATGAACTCAAAGTATACATACTTTGTGGCTATGAAACCAATCAAATCTGTAGGAGTTTCCATTTTTAAATCGAATCGATGTGAGCACAAAACTCAAAAACTGTTGTCAGCTGACAAGAAATAATCAGATCTAGTAGATTTTTGAGACTGCAAAAAGAAGGAAATATACAATTAGAAATTTCTCAAACAGAAAATAAATGTTCAATCACCTGCGCTACTGACATATAATAATTGTGGCTCTTTTTTTCTTTTTTCCTGTTATTCAGATTTTCAAGTACATTTCTGAATGGCAGGAAAATCTTCAATCGTAATTACGGGATCCCAACATGAGCTGATTTCACAATTCGTCATCTAACACCATCTCGAGGGATCTGTGAAATGATGTAAAAAAAGCTGAAACCTATAATTGCGAAAACTAGAAAAACATAATAATTTTAGTCTTTCCTAGGCAAGAGATTTTTGACAAACAGTTTTGTGGGTGATCAAAGAATTCGCGGGATAGTTTGGTCTCATCTTTTCACCTGTTTTCAAGAATGTCGGGAAAATCACTGAAATCCTATTTTTATAAATTGATCTCTTGAAAAATGTGTGAAATTGAGAACTGGGAAACGGATTTGAAAATTAAATTTGCGGAAATTAAAGCTGAAGTTTCAATGTTTCTTTCAGATATGTGCTCATGGTGTCAAGAACAACCTCGGAATGATTCTTCTCGGCTGTTGCCATATAACTTCTATTCAGAAGTTGACGGGGGTTCCGTTAGTTATACGGATATTGGGCAGGTTCTGGTCGGGACTTGTCCATAAACTGCTGTATAGCCACACAACAAGATTGGAACCTTGTTCAAAATTTGTCAGAGTTTGGTCGGCTTTACTATAGTTGCGGTCTTATCCAAAATCTGACCAGCCTCCGCTCCCGGACGATGCCCGAGGGATGTCAAAGCTACAATAATCTAAAACGGCCCAAAGGATTCAAAACTTCGTGAAATTAGATCACACGTTGATCAGTTTCCATCATTTGCATTTACAATCCATTTCAGTTCTCTGGCCCACCAGGGCACTCCCCTTCAAACACGGACAGACTAACCACGTCGTGGGGAAAGATCTCCTAGAATTCCCTGTGGGATTCCCACGAACCTCACATCTAAATCCCTACTTTATCTAATCTACCCTTAGTGTACAAATCGACGACGTGACATGTTTCTCGTCACCTGTAAATCCGTCAAAAGCAAATGAATCACTGCAATATCTTCGCAGTCAGCTTCCCGGGAGAATGATTCTTATTTGCTTTTTGCCGCATCGAATCTTTCCCAATGGTCCACTTATCTCTTTGGGGAGATAATGGGATTTGCTCCGGGGAAGGACCATGGTACGGACCAGATACTAGATCTCATTCAGTACAAGAATGTCTGCTCGCGTTCAGTCTAGCCAAAAAATGCCATCTCGGTTTCGTATTTTTGAACTACCTGATGTTGTTTTGAAAGATGTTTTTCAAAATTTTGAAGGAGTCGAAATGTAAGTTTCCCAGTTTTTTTTAATTAACTCAATTATCTCTATACAGACTCGATCTCTCCTTCACATCCACCAGACTGATGAGGGGAGTTTTCCGCTCTGTTGGACTGCGAGCTGTCAGTCATACTGTAAAGTTTGAAGACGCGTATCCTCTCATTAGCACAATAGTGAAATTTGGGTCAGGAAAAGGAAGTGAAACATCTTTTGTATGGAAATTTGTCGAAAGCAAAAAATCAATCAATTCGGATAAAGTGAGAAAAGTGGAATGTCACAGATTCGATAATTGGTATGCGCACTATTCGATGATCTTTATAAAAATAATTTTTCAGCTTCACGAAAGGTAATACTATCTTCTGCCACTACCACAACTCTGAACTCGGTGCAACTGTGATCTTCAATCATATTTTCAATTGTTTGCCAGCCCCATTAAATCTGCATCTGAAACTGAATTCCATCAAAAATCTCCATGCTTTATTTCTCAATGATTGTTTTTCAACGTGCGAAAAATTAGATGTTTGGTACGTAGAGCAGGACGAGAATGATGAATTAGTTGAGGATCTGACAGGAATTTTGGAAATGGTGGATGTTAAAAAAGAGCTGAGAGCGCTGGTCCCACAACAATGTGAGATGGATATTGAGAAGGTTTGGTACTCGGGATTTTTCAAAAAACCATACTAGTTTTCAGATTCGTGACTTAGAAGTTCTGACGATTCAGGATGCAGAATGGATGAGTTTGCCTGCTCTTTACTCTTTAAATTGTCGATTCGGAAGTCTTCTGAATCACAAGTTCGGCCAATTTGATATCTCTGCTTTTGCTGAAAATTGGTACAACTCGACAGACAGGAAACTGGTAAAGATGCAGTTCGGATGGAATGAGTACAGACGATTTTCCCCAATGATAGATAATCTCAATTGGAAAGAATGGGATCCGAAAATAAGATCAAGATATTTTCAGTAAGTTCTCTGAAGAAACAATTTTGAACGAAACTAAATAATTTGAATTTTTTCAGTGACTCCAGTGAACGTTCCAATTCGAGTCGAATCGATTGTTCTAAAGGACTCGACATCACTCGTCCAGATGGTCTCACAGCAACGATCCTCAAACAAGATGCGTTTGATTGTAACATCCTTTTCCTTGTCTGGCACGATATTCATCCTGAAACTACACGGTTAGCAGTTCTCTCGGAGAAATTGAACCTACAAAACAAGAAATTGGCCTCAATTCTTGGCAATAGGAAAGAACGAGTCGTTAAGAAGGAATTCCGAGACACGTTTACAGAGGCTCTGGCGAAGAAAACAGAAATCACGGAAGAAATCAAGCTATGGGTTGATACAGAAGACATTAATGCATGCTGATTCAATTTTTTTCATGAAACTAATAAATTCGATTGTTCGTATTATGAAGATCTTCATTTTTCCCTGTTGCTAGAATTCATTTAGATTCTGTGTCTTATTCGGATCAGGTCTGCTTAAGCGCACATTGATTGAAAACACACAAGTCTAATCCACGTCCGCTTTGAAATTATTTTTGAATTTCGCTTGACCTAAAAATTATCAGGGGTGCCATTTCGGACCAAACTTTTTGGACCGATGTGGAGTGGATGAAACCATTCCATAGGTTCATGTCTTTTCTTCAATCTAATAAAAATGTTGACTTGAAATAACTACTTTGAAACTCAATCATTCAAAATATCAAACTAAACTTCAGTTGTTTACTTGATTTTTTCACATTTCCACCTGAAACTGAAGATTAGAAGTTGTGCGATTTCTAAGTATTTAATGAAATTTTTCAGCTGTCTGCGCGAAATTATATAAGCTTGGCTCACTTCTTCAGTTTCACACGACTTCCCAAATGTACCTCATATCCAAGATTTGGCTTGGATATGGGCTCATTTCGGTTTTCTTCTCTGCATTTCTTGTCTTTGTTATATATACCAGTCCACTTTCCAATCAATCCTTCTATCGTCTCATCGTAATTCATCTGGTAATTGTCATCCTAAGTTGGATAAATTCATGGCCAACTCGAGTCGTTTGGACTGAAGATGCACCATATTTCGCTAAAGCTCTCTATGACCACACTCCAAGACTGTTTAGCTTGTTTATGTTTCTCGGAATCGCATTTTGTCATATCCAATCGTGGAGTTCTATCGTGATCTGTGTGAATAGATTGAGAACTGCAAATCCAGAGAAATACGAGGAGAGAAACAAGTGGTGGAATCGTTGGTTTATTCTGATCTATATAATTGTTATAGTCTTGTCTCTACTTGCTGCCCACTATTTGGCCATTACTCCAACTGTTCGATTTTATGAGGAAACTGGAAAATTTGGTTATGTTATATGGGATCTGGTGAGTTAGAACTAATGGCACTCTTCTAGAATCACGGAACGAAAAATAAAATCACGGAACGAAAATTTTGGGTAATCCAAAAATTGCTAGGACCTTCATTCAAGTACTATCCAGAGATCTAACCTTGACATTACATTTTTTTTGCTCAGTATCCAAAATGACACCCGAAATGTGGTATATTGAGTCCTTAAGGTACACTAGTTGATAGCGTACATGGTTAATAGGTTACATAGGACCTTTTCCAGATGTTCTGAGGATCATGGGACATATGGGAGTTAGGTTAGAGGCTGCAACGAGCAGAGTTATCAAACTTCCCGTCGTTTTTTGGGTGCCTCACATGAAGGAAACATGATGGTTCAGCCTAAGCCTATAATTGAAGAAATCTTTTCTAATTCAAAATTAGTCTTCTTGGAACAAAATATTGGTCCGGAATAAGAATAGTCTTGGGCCAAATTGAGTAGAAATCGTGGCATGAAATTTCTTGCCTCGGATTTTTCATTTTTCAAAAATTCGATGATATTTTTGGGTTGAGGAAGCTTTTTTCAACCACTTCTTTCAGGCTCTTTCAGGCTGAAACGCCATGCTTCTTTTATCTGGAACACCCTAAAATGTCAGGAAGCTCAATAACTGCTCGATGTAGCTTTAAACTGAGTTTTCAGATGTTCTACAGGTCCTATGTAACTTGTTAACTAGCGTATTTTAAGAAATTGATATACCCTTTTTAGTATACCTTGGGTATTGGAAAAAGTAAAATTGATGCCAAGTTAGTATTACGGATACTACTTGCCAAATTAAAGAAGATAGCAGTTTTTTTGGATTACCCAAAATTTTCGTTCCGTGATTTTTTTTCGTTCCGTGATTTTTTCGTTCCGTGATATTTCGTTCCGTGATTTTTTTTTCGTTCCGTGATTCTAGAAGAGTGCCGAACTAATAATAAGACTTTAGCATAACTCAATTATAGGCGGATGGAATCATGCAAATTTTCTTTCTCGTAGTTTTCCTCGGTCTTTATATTCTGATAAGTCTTATCTTCGGATGCATCGCAGTCTGTAAAATCAAAAAACATCAAGATGGAGAATTTCATCACTCGTCACTGGTCACTCTCGTTCACATTTTCCTTCGTGTATTCTGCCTCACTCTTCTTCTTTGCTCATTCCTTTTACAAGTTGAAGACTTCACAGTGGAAATGATGATCACTATTTTTGATTTAGTAAGAAGAGAATCTCAGTTTTTGAATATCAAATACATTTTTCAGATGACCTTCTCCATGACATACATTATTTTGTTCTATGATGAGAGTGTTCGAGAGGCTATTAGAAGCTCGTGTACTTCCGGAACCGTCGATGGGAGATAATAAATTATTGCTTTTTTGTACTTTTTAAAAAACTTTTTATATAAAGTTTCAAGCAATGTTGTGAACTTTTGTTCTTTTTGAAAAACTGTTGGGTTTGTTTTCAATTCTTCCGTTTGGGCTTTTAGACGGATATTGGCCAGGTTCTGGTCTGACTTGCCCAAAAACGGCTGTATAGCGGGCCATGCTCAGATTTTTGTCGGAAGTTGAAAGTTAAAATACTAATAGCTCGGAACATTGTCATAAGTTTGTTGGAGTTTGTTCGGCTTTAGTAGCCGCCTTATCTGGAATCTGACCAACGGGCAGAAGTTGTCGGCGACGCCCGAATAATTGAATTGCTGTAAAGATTTGGGTTAATCCTTGCTGCTTCTTCCTTTGCGTAATTGCCAATTTTTCATCTAATGTTTCAGAAGACGGCAGAGCACTTTGATTCAATTTTCAAATGCAAGGATTTCAGATGAACAGTAAATTCAAATGACCATCAACCGAAAGATATACAATATGCCTAGTCGTTTTCAGTTTCGAAAAACCAGTTTTTTTCGAAACTGCGATCTCTTTTTCTTCCCATTTTTTGAATCCCATCCGTTTCCCTGTCTAGCTCTTGTGACACAAATCTTATCTTATCTGTTTAATGTTCTCACCACCTTCATAATAAAAAAAGAACGTGTTGCTCGAATTCCACTTTAGCTTATCTCTCCTCACACATTTCACAATCGATATCCTTTTTTTTCTCTCGAGAAAAAATAGTTTCTCCAGTGAAAGTTCTAACTCCATGATGTACTTCTTCTTCGTTCTCAACATTCTATTCATCGTCGTCGTTGGTATCGGGTGCAAGAAAAAAGTGAGTTTTTGTAAATAAATTCCTTCTAAAAGATTATTTGGGTCATTTAGAACAATGCAAGTAAACTTCAACCTCGTGATATGTCCAAAGAGAAAAAATCAAAAGAAAAAGTGACACCAAACGGTGCGGGATCAAAACCAGCGACTCCGACTTCTCCGAATCCGGAAGACGAGAAGGTGACAACTCCGGATCCAGGTGAGAAGTCATGATTATTAGTTAGGAAATAGCAATATGAGTAATAGGACATCACAGACAGATTTGAAATATATTTTTTCTAAAACGTCGAAACACTTCCAGAGAAAGATAAATCAATGATCCCAAGAGACGCAGATGACAATGAGACAATCAACGAAGCAAAATCCTGTTGGAGCACTCTTAAGTAAACTAAATCGATAGTAATAAATGAAGTAATTATTCAAGTTTATCATTTGATTTTTTAAAATTCACATGCTCAATTAATAACTCTCCGAATTTCAAAATAAAACACTTTATATACATAAATGATAAATTGGTGTCTGGTGTTTATTCCAAAAAATAAAATAACACTAAAAATAACATAATTAAGGCTAAAACCATATTCAGCAGTATAAACCACATTGAAAAAATCTCTCCATGATTACAATTCAAACATTTTTGTCAAATACCAAAAGCATGTACGACATTGAGAATGTTACCTGAAACGTTCAACTCTGTTTAACTATTGAAACTTCGCCCCAACCATAACCGATATAATCATTAGTAAATTCAAATGTGCAGCAGATGAGAAATGGTTTGCTGAAAGATTCCACAGTAGGAAAAGGGCATAAACGAATGTATGGGTAATTGCAATTTTTGATCGGATCTTGAGAAGTTGTTTGTGTTGAGTCGAGAGTTGAATTATCAACTTTTTTTCACGTGGATGAATGTGAAGACCCCCAAAACCAGAATAATTACGAAGTATACAATTGTGAATACTAACAAATAGATTTGACCAATGTAGGTGTCTCCCTGTGTTACGTCCTTAGGATCCGGCATTCTGGCCGGCTCAAGGAATACGAATAGTAATAGAATACAGATTTATTCAGGTACTAAAGATGTACGAGAATAGAGGGGGAAAAGTAGAGAAGGCCGGGAGAGACTAGGACAGACCGAGAATGGTTGTCAGCCCCAAAGAAAGAGGGGTTCTGACCAATGAAACAACTAAGAAGAAGAGTGCCAGAGAAGGGCGCTCTTCTTAGGTGGGTAGATCACAAATAAGTTGGTAGATCAAATATAAAACTAATGGAAGTATGCATAGAATGCCTGAATAAGTGAGCAATCGAATAAGACATAAACAAAGCGTACACCAAAAGATAATACTTATTCCAGAAAGAATTCGATTCTTTGAAAATCGAAGGTTGTTCGGAAAGTCCTTTCCATTTTTAGCGTCAGATTCATTCGATATAAAAAAGATCAAAACGATGTCAGATAAATTGAAGATAAAGACCATTGTTATCAGTGACTATCTGTCAACGTCCCACCAAATTGTGGATGCCTTCCTTCCAGAACTCCGGCCACAGCGCATTGAAAATCAGGTCAACCCATTTTTGACATCATGCTTTGAAGTGAATTTTTTTCAATCAAGATGTCGGTAGAAATGGCTGGATAGGGGGTAGTCAGACAGTACAAGGTTTGGACTATACTGTAGATAAGACAGAACCGTTTAGCCGTATCCAGTGAGATCGGCCTCCGTTCTCCTTCCCGCGTGAGGATGCGAATTTCGATTTTGAAAATAAACCTTTGTGTTTCTCTCCAATGGAGATCTACATGGAGTCTGAATGTGAGTTATGTCACCTGACAAAAATAGGTATCCGTAATAAAAGTGACACCATTATCTGGCAGCTCCCAATACTCCACTCCTTGGTAGACATCCATGCCGAA